ATTGTTACCTCTGATGACGACTTGGATGAACATCTTGGTCGTGACGGTAGCCATGATGGCTCGATTCCTCCTCCAGGAGCTTTTCGGCGGCCGAGAGGGATTTGGGCACCACCAGGAGACGATGGCCGAGCTCTCGCCGAGCGAAGTCATTCCCATGGCGGGCAACGTTACTGAGTTCTCGGGCAGAGGCAATCATCTCACGATGAGCTATATAAGTTGAAATTAAGGCAGGAATTGTCTGAGTGGATGAATATCCTAATAGAGTGATTATTTCATGGCCTTGCCTAACCTTCGTCAAGTTGATCTCGCATCTCTTGTGCATGAGCAACACCAATTCCTTTGCAATACCAATGCTTGATGCTAGAAAGTCTTTCGGCTTCGTTGATGAGCAATATGATGCCTGAACTTATTTAATGCACTGTATTCCTATGGATAATCACCCCGATAACAATCTTGGAAAGAGATGTGGTCCAGAGAGATGAAGGAGAAAGACTGAACTTGCCTGATTCGGGAACCCAGCAATTAGTGGATTGCTGATTTGATGTCTTCGCTAGTGCAAGGCTGCGACCTACAGGGGCGTAAGTGTGGCGGGTGCACCCTGCAAGGCGGCGAGCTTGTGGCCAGCTCCCGCCTTGTCAGTGGCCCAAGCCTCTCCCATCCTCACTCACACCCGGCCACTCACTTAATAGTCGTCCTACACGACGGCATTGTCCCCCATCAGCGCGGCGCATTGTCTTTGCGCATCTGGAACCTTGTTCTTAATATCTCTTTTCTCTCGAACTCACCTCTTACACCCGATATACGACCAACATCTGCAGGCGCTGCGCTGTAATCAGACTTGCGACAGACCGACCTACTACCTAACAGCTGGTGGCGAGCTTATCCGATCTCAGTGTTGATCTCATCTAGGCCAGCAGCCACAGTTGAGCCATCGTTCTCGCAAAGGTCAGTCGAAATTTCTCAAAGTGCTTTTTTCCTATTTACGACAGTCAAGCGACAGTCTCATCAGTCTTATATTTCATCATCAAGCGAGCTGGCCGAGATGGCGCATCTTGAATGCTTCTCTTAACGCCGTTTCCCTTTCATCAAGGCCGAGCAATAAAAAAGCTTCATACAAGCTTCGTCAGTCTTCAGTTTCATCCTGAGAGTTGTTTTTGATGCTATCACTTATTCAAGAGGCGCATTCTCGAAACAAGGACTCAGAAAGAGACACTTTGTCTTTCACTTGGCCTGCCCTGCTGTTCCTCAACTTCCAGCGCCTGGACGAATCCTGAATATATAACTAACCTGGAAGTAGAAGATCGTCTGATTCTGGGCAACCTGTGGTGTTTCTCTCTGCGTGGTTGAAGATCGATAAGCTTCCGGGGACAGGATAGAGCATTCAGTCGGACCTGCTCATCTTTCTGAGGCCTAGGACTGCCTTCCGTCCTAGCTCGAAACGCCCCGGCCATCAGTACCCTGGCAAGCCTCTGTTGCTTAGCCACGACGATCTCGCTCTGCTGCTCGAAGTATCGGACACTACCCCGATCTCAGGTCGCTCGCGATAAGCATCCTTCGCGTTTTGGGGCGTGTCGACACAGCCTGTTTCTGGACCATGGAAGGCGGCGACCCGGACGTCGTCATGGGCGGGGACGATAAGCCTTCAAATGACACTGCGGCCACCAACGGAGTTGCGGTGCCTGCTGATGGGGTGCAAAAAGACGAGAATACCACATCGCCCGACGACGAGGATGAGGAGTACGAAGAAGAGTCCGAAGAAATCCCAGACGATGGCGCGGTGCGCAGACGAGGATTACTGCCCACGGCATGTTGCTACGATGACCGCATGAAGCTTCACGTCAACGCCGACTTTGGAACTACGCCTCATCATCCGGAAGACCCTCGCCGAATAGAAGAGATTTTCAAAGCATTCAAGAGGAATGGCCTGGTTTTCAACGGCCCGGAAAGCAAACTCACCGAAACAATGCGCCACAATCCGTCGAAATACATGTGGAGGATTGGCGCTCGTGAAGCTACCAAGGAAGAAATTCTTACGACACACACTCCGCTGCACTATCACTGGGTCGAGAGCCTATCGAAGATGGACTACCCTACGCTGAGAGAAACGAGCCGGCAATACGACCAGGGCCGTGCCTCACTCTATGTCGGCAGTCTGACATTCACGGCAGCCCTTCTATCCTGCGGCGGCGCCATCGACACCTGCAAACATGTCGTCGAGGGCAACGTCAAAAATGCCTTTGCTGTCATCAGACCCCCTGGTCACCATGCAGAATACGACCAACCCCTCGGCTTCTGCTTCTTCAACAACGTGCCCGTTGCTGTTAAGATCTGTCAGCAAGAGTACCCAGAGACCTGCAGAAAGGTGCTCATCTTGGACTGGGACGTTCATCACGGCAATGGCATTCAGAACATTTTCTACGACGATCCAAATGTTCTGTACATCTCCCTTCATGTCTACCAAAACGGAGTATTCTACCCCGGACCACCAGAGAATGCAGAAATACCGGATGGAGGCCTCGAACACTGCGGTACAGGACCTGGACTGGGAAGGAACATCAACATTGGATGGCACGATCAGGGTATGGGGGATGGTGAGTATATTGCTGCCTTCCAAAAGATCATCATGCCTATCGCCAAGGAGTTCAATCCCGACTTGGTCGTCATTTCCGCAGGATTCGACGCTGCTGACGGAGACGACCTCGGTGGTTGCTTCGTGAGCCCTGCCTGCTACGCACACATGACCCACATGCTCATGTCCTTGGCAGAAGGCAAGGTCGTCGTGTGCCTGGAGGGCGGGTACAACCTGCAAGCCATTTCAACATCAGCGGTGTCAGTCGCCCGTACGCTGATGGGAGAACCGCCACCGAGGATGGACTTGCCATCCCTGAACAAGGACGCAGCCAGGGTCCTCGCCAAGGTGCAGAGCTACCACGCACCGTACTGGGAATGCATGAGACCTGGTATTATTCCGATGCCGGATATTCAAGATCTACATGCAACACGACTCAATGACCACATCAGGCTCGGCCAAAGGCAGGCCCTGTCACAACGCCACCAGATGATCCCTCTTTTCATACAAAGGGACATGCTCTTCAAGTCCTACGAGAACCAGGTCCTCGTAACGCCAGACATTCCGTCCGCACGCCGTATCCTCATCATCTTTCATGATCCGCCGGAGGTGCTGGCTCAGCCTGATGTGGTTGACCGTCACGTGGAATCTCACAACGCATGGGTCGTCGACAGCGTCGAACAGTATATCGATTGGGCTGTTGGCCAAGGCATTGCGGTCATGGACGTCAACGTTCCGAACAAGATTCTACGAGACGAAGATATGGAACCTTACACCCAACAGACAGGAGAGATTGAGCTTCTGGGCGAGCTTCAAGAGTTGGCGAATTACTTATGGGACAACTACATCCAGCTCTACGAGGAGGCCGACGATATCCTTCTTCTTGGTGTAGGTCGGTCGTACAGTGGAGTCAGGGCGCTCCTGACCGGACGAGGTATGTCTCTTCACAACATGGCAGTAACGTGCTGTTCCCATGCTAACCATTTCGCCGCAGACTGCAAAGCCAGAATTGCCGGAGTCGCTTGCTTTATCAAGGGAATGTTGCGACCCGTCAAGTCTGACGTCGACACCGAGCTTGCACCTTGGTACAAGGATCATTCCCAGATCTTCGTTGAGCACGATCACGCGTGCTGGTCTCGTGCAGACACCAAGCACAGAGTAAGTAAGCGCCGTTTCGGCACGGTAATCCGAAGTCCGGAAAATGGCACCCAGAAGATGGCGAATACCCATGCCAAGGAGGTCCAGAGCTGGATGCTGGACATGCTCGCGGCTCGGCAGAATGGTGATACTACGGAAGACGATAAGATGACTTGACATATGCCGGCGGAATGACGCTGGGAGCTCGAGCATGAGGCAATATACTGGAGGAGGCGCGTCCAGTGCAGCACATATACAGATGGGAAATGAAGCGTCGGCTGGTGTTGAGGACGGAAATAGAGTCCAGGTCGGCAGCACGCTTGTCACGGGGGAGCGGAGGATCTGAGAAGAGAAGACACTTTTAGGAGCGAGGAATTTTCGAGCGCGGGACGGCGGCCATCGACGTACCTTAGGCATTTCGCGAGAGAATTCTGTTGATACAACACCACAATGCGAACCATGTTGCCCCGAACCCGACCTATGTTCCTGGCCTTACTCTGTGTAATGCAAGGTCAGAGAGACATTACTCGTTCACCAAGGTGAATCTGGGTTCAAGAGATGAGTCGCAGCCTTCCTCTCCAACAGTGGATCAGCATCCACACTATAACCCGCCTTGCTAGCTCAATCGGTAGAGCGTGAGACTCTTAATCTCAAGGTTGCGGGTTCGACCCCCGCGTGAGGCTCAAATCCTCACCGCGATTGGCAAAGCCACTCTTAAGGTTAATCTTTTGCTTTTTGACCTCTGGGAAATGAGATCTGCACTTGGCTTTCGCACACAGTAGGTAAGTTACGGGTGTACAGCAAGGTCCTTCCTTTTCAAGTCGCCAAGAATGAGAGAGACTTAGTCAGTGGACCCCTCCTTGGGTTCCAGTTACTACGACGGTTTTCGTGGGTTTGCTGTTGGCCTCTTCAATACTCGCCTCGTCGTGGGGTCACAATTTTTCCGGCGAATCACTTAACATCCCAGCCCATCGTCAATTCTCCAAGCTTTGATTGGTTCCAGCTGGTAGGGAGCCTTGTGGACCAGCACTGACGTCCGCTGATACACACCCATTGGCCCAACAGCCGATGAATCCTTATCTTATCCAGACAAGCGCGTCTGAGCGCGCTTCACAGCTGGTCCTCCAGCCTCCGTTTTGTGGGTACCCTTTGGTTTTCAGGGGGGGGGGGGCCCGATCCTAATCCTCGGGCGCTTTTTGCTGCTTGCATCCTTAGGAACCCTGCTCCATCCAAGGAACGATTGACGTTTGGCGTTGGCGCGCATTTTAGCTGACCCATCCAACTTCCCAACCCAACTATCGCGCGCGCAGCGCAAGCAAAGATTCACGACCCTATCACGAAAGGCTTTTGTTACGAGCATTGCTCCCAGCCTAATCTGCGGGCTACGGTTCCACGACACGAACGAATATGGATCGCGACCGGAGAAGCAGGTACGTGGTAGTAGCTGTTGGCAGCTTCCTAGTGTCTTTCCCACCCGTTCGTCCCGAGCTCGTCAGGGCCTACCTGATCGAGCTTGGCACATTTCACGATTACTTTGTACCGGAGTGTCCCTCATAGGATTGAAAACCTGTGGTCCCGGCGATGGTGTATCTCTTGCTTTCCAGCTTGTTACCTGTCACGGAACCATCTCGGACTCCCGTACCTGTACGGCGATCACCTACCGTCACAGGCTGGCGGAGAGCTATGAGCCTCATGCACTGAATCAACCATTTTTCTACATCGCGTGGCCTTCTAACTACGTTTGGACCATGATCAATGGAATCAGCTGACAAATAATCATAGGTACGAAGACGGCGAGGTCACTAGGTATGGCGCTGGCGAGTCTTGGAGACCCTTTCCTAGAGGCGGAGGTGGCGGCGGAGACCGCTCCCCTCGACGAGCCCGAAGTCCACTGAGGGACCGCGAACGAGACCGAGACAGAGATCGTGACCGCGATCGCGACCGTGATCGTGATAGAGACAGAGACCGGCCAAGATCTCGAGACCGCGACAGAGACAGGGACCGAGATACCAGAGACACGAGAGATCGCCCGAGATCCAGAGACCGCGACAGAGAGCGCGCTCGCACACCGCCCCTGACGTCGGACAGCTACGTTCCCGGAAGATCTCCCGCCCGCCGCCGCTCACGCAGTGCTGAGCGTTACCGACGTGATCGGTCCCGCGACAGAGACCCGCGCCCTCAGAGCGACACATGGCGCAGACGGGATAGAACTCGAAGCCCTCCTCCTGTGAGACGGCCCTCGCTGAGACGTAGCCCTTCAAGGCGCCGCAGTCCCATTGGAAGATCTCCCGCCATTCGAGATGAGAGGAGCGACCGTGTTAGGTCGCCGCCGCGCCGCGACAACAGAGACAGAGAGCGTGAGAGGGACAGAGATAGGGACTTTGATCGGCGGGACGACAGGTACCGTTCGTTGCCCCCCTTTGTGCAGACTACGGTCTCATTACCTATTAGACGCCGGTCGCGTTCGCCATACGGCCGCGACAGAGGTCCCAGGGACAGAAGCCCGCCCCGGCGGTCGCCTGCGCCGGCATCTCGTGGCAACTACCGTCCACGATCTCGTAGTACGAGTCGCCGCGGCGGTGGTGGCGAGAGATACGTAGGATCCTCTTACAGACGGGCCTCGCCGCCCCGAGATTCTGGCATCTCGTCAGCGATCACGTCTCGATCAGCTTCAGGCAAGTCGTCACCGCACCCTCCTCCTTCCACCCGAGCACGTTCGCGGCCGCAATCGAGGGAGCGTGGGGAGCGTGGGGAGCGTGTCGAGCGGGTTGAGCGGGAGCAGCAGCGAGAGCGAGAGCGGGAACCCACACCGCTTCAGACCGGTGCTTCTGCCGCATCATCGTCCTCGACGATGACGACGACGATTCGCGAAGCACCCAAGCCTGCCGCAAACGCCACCGCAAACGCCGCCGTTTCCGCCGCCTCCGCGATCGCCGCCCCCCAAGAGCCGGCCCCGCCGGTCGCAAAGACACCACCTCGAGGCCCCGCCGCTTTACGTGCTCCTCCAACCGGCCCTGCCGCGACCCGAAACTTCACTGCGCCCGCCGGCTCACCAGCTGTCCAGCCACCTAGACACCCGCCGACCCCGAGCGTGCCACCCTCGCGCGCAGACGCCGTTAGCCCGACGATCCCCCCGGCCGGCCCCCGAGGCTACGTAGTTTCGGCCAGGGGCGGCGGATACAGCGCCCGCGGTGGACGAGGCTCGTGGTCCGGTCCATCCCCTCGTCAGGCCCCTGCCCCCACGACATCCCCTTCTTCCATTGGCAACGGACCTTCCAGCATCCCAACCGGTCCGCGCGCCAACCCCTCCAACACTACACCGTTAAGCACATCGTCAGCAGGGCCCAAAGCTTTCAACCCTCCCACCGGCCCTTCCTCGCAGCACGGCGCCGGAAACGTCCGCCTGACGCTCGCGCAAAGCATGCTCGCTACCCTGCCGCCCATCATCCCCGGTGGCAAGATCGACCCGTCTCTGCTCGCGACGACGACGGGCATCACGAGGGACATTGAGCCGCACTACAGGAAACTCAAGGCCGAAGAGGAAAAGGCCCGCGCGGAGCTGGATGCGAAGCAGGATAAGTTGCGGCAGAGCCTCCAGATGTGGGATAAGCTCGAGATGGAGTCCAAGGCGTGGAAGACGAGGGTGGATGTGAGCGAGCAGAGCTTGAAGAGTTTGGCTGGTGAGGGCATGGGCGGTGCCGCGTTCTAGGAGGAAGCACCGTCGAAGTGAATTAGAGGGAGTGGACTTTCTGTTGTGTATTTTGGTGGATCGGAGAAGGCATTGAACTCTTGTTTCTCTTTTCCCCCTTTACAGCGGCGATGAAGATGTACTACTACTACTACTACTACTATCAGTCGAGGAGGCACATACCCTTGCCTCCTTCTTGCTTTTGCTTCATTACCTGTAGGAAAAATACAAAAATCAAGTGAACGTCAAGTCAGTCAGTCTGTCCGTCTAGTACCAAACGAAAACAAAGCAGAAGAAAAAAAAGAGTTCACGCCCCCCCCGCCGCCCCGGTATTGAACTGGGGGCTACATCTCTTGGTGCACATGCTGGGAATTTATTGTCGAACCATATACCACTCCCCCAACCCATTCCAGTTTGACCTGACCCGTCGGCCTAGACGGGCGCCTGCTGGTTGTGGTGACGGAATTGGGATTGAGGGGGGGTATATGCCCTTTGTGTGCGTGTATCATCGGCAGGTGCTGGAATACTCGTACGTCTGGGTTGGTTCGACGGGTGGGTGGTTGCCTCCTTCCCCTTCGAAAGTTCGTAGCAAGGAGCTTCTGTGCCTTACGTTGCGTGATTACGAGGAGCGAATGGGATCCGCGGCATACCAGACATGTCCAAAGCTTAGAAGAAGGCGAGCCAGCATTGATGAAACATTTCTTTATCATTGAGCAACTATCTATTGCTTCCTCATCTGTACCGTAGGATACAGGAGAAGCTATAGTCTGAGATGCCTACCTCTCAGTTTGGTAGGTTACCTTGGTTGCAGTAGTGCCTCGAACCAGCCTTCCTTCTGGCTCTTCAGTCCAATCCATCAGTTCATAATCCATATTCGTTTTCTATAAACCCTTGTTGGCCGACCAAGTGAGTTGCTCTCAAGCAAGCCCTTCCCTATGTTCCGAAGCCAAACCATTGCCCACTCCGCCGTCTCATCTCCCATGGCCTCGAGCCATGGACGCGTGCGTATAGAAGTTGGCTAAGTTGTAATATTACACAATATGCGAGGGAAATCGCCTCGTCTTTGGTGCTTCTCTGCGAAAGCCAAAATGACAAAGTTCAAGCGAGTATCTCTCGCAGACAAAGGGAAGCGAATAGACAATCAATCCTACTCGTAATCCATATCGCTATCCCATTCGTCATCGACCTCAAAGTCTCGTTCGTCGTTCAGGAAGTCATCCATGCTGTACTGGTGCTCCCGAGGTTTTTGGTTGTCGATGTGGATATCAACGACGTTGCACATGCCTTGAACGAATGTGTCTGCCACTGCTCCCTCGGCGGCTTCGTCGGTCTCGCCTTGGTTAGAATCTTCTGATCGCTCCTCCATTTCGACATCGCTATCAGAGTCGAATTCATCGCTGTCGGGCTCCGCGTACGACTTAGGCTTCTGCAGCTGGCCACGAAGCCCCCTCGACGTGCTACTAGCGCGAGAAGAGGTACCCGAGGCATAGGGCACAACTCGTTTGCTCCGCCGAGATGGTTCTGCGGCAGGTTTCTTGGACTTTCGCTTCGAAACGACCAGGGGAGATGGCTCGACGGGTAGCGGTTTCTGCAGGGTGAAATGTGGCCTTGGGTCGGGGCTTTGTCGGAGGAAGATCTTCTCAAACTTTTCCTGCCACGACTTGCGGAGCTCGACTCGTGATCGCCAGGAAATGCTGAGCATTGCCTTGATCGAGATGTGTCTGAGATCCGGCAGGTCTTTAGCGCCATCAATCAATGATTGAAGAAAGGCTTCGGCTGCCGCAGTATCAGCTGCGCCAGAGCTCCAGTGGCGGAGATTCTCTAAATGAACCACCTGCAAAGATGCTGGCCAGCTAGGAACCTCGTTCGGGAGCAATAGTGTGTCATAAGAGGGAAGTCGATCGTTGCTCGACTCCAACAAGCTGAAGTACTGCAGGTTCATACGCAGCTCCTTAAGATGCGGACAGGCAGTTCCCAGCACCGTGAGGAAGGAAAGGTTCAGTGAGCGGTTGTGATTCAACACAAGCGACTGCAACTGATGTCCCTTCGTGACCAGAAACAAGCTGAAATCGTCGGCAATGACTTCGGCGCAATTCACTAGCTCTAGGCGTTTCAGCTTTGCTGGGAGCAAGGGAAACAGGGACGTAGTAATAATTGTCGAGGATTCAAAAACCAGATCTTCGAGATTGGGAAGAGCCAGGATAGAGTTCGCAAGCAGGCTCACAGACTTCTGATCTTCAGCCAGCAATTCGGGATTGGTCTCGGGGTCTTTGTCCAGTCTGATGGACGGCATCTGGTAGTTTACGAACTTGAGTTTCCGTAAAGAGACGAAGCTCGGCATCTGATGAACTTCTTGAAGCCTCGCAAGGCTAGCCTCCCAGTTCTTGTTCATCAGCCGAGAGCTCCACTGCCAGCTTCGGAGTCGTGTTATCGCAGTCTTCTCCCCAGCCTCTGCATCTGCGGTAGGCGACACCTCGAATGCTTGAAATAGCTCGTCAGGGTAAGTCCACTTGATGGATTCCTTTAGCTTTCGGAAAGGGGCCTGGTCATATCCATGCACGAGCAGGACCTCTTTGAGACGTGGCAAGTTCTGCATCAGCTTCAGTGGCGATGTAAGACCTCGTAAAGACACCAGTCTCACATCGATGTGAAGGGCCTCGATTTTCGCTCTATAGTTGAAAGCGGTCTGCGATGGCGGCTTCTCGAGTAGTTCCGCGAGCCCATAAGCTTTGGTCTCGTCCCGTATCGGTGGACACTTGTAGAGAACGGTCAATGCCGGATCAGCGAATTGTCTACACGCCCTAGCCGTATGGAGAATCCAGTTGACGTCTAATGTATCTTGCTCATCGCCTGAAGTCGCCACGAATTGAAATATTTGGACCCAGATTGAATGCGCGATTTGAGGGTCGAGCCAGTTTGGTATGATGACAGAGGTTGCGTTGTTCATCTCGACATCCGTCTTATTCTTCGGAGGCCTTCCACGCGGCTTAGCCGGAGTGGTCTTGGGAGCAGTTTTGGCATTTGAGAGTTCGTCTTCGGACCCATTGTCGTCGGACTCGTCTGAGGAGTCATGCTTGGCTTTCCGCAGTGAAGCCTCCACTTTGCGAGGTCGACCTCGGCCTCTCTTGGGGGTAGAGTCTCGCGCGGTTGTGGTCGACTTGCGTTTGGTGCCGGCCCTCCTAGCCCCTCTTCCGTCGCTAGCCTTGGTCGGCGTCTTTCGGGGACTCTTGCGTGAGGTACGGGTTGATTCCTCAAAATCTTCGGATTCGTCCACGACGGAGTCTTCCTCATCAGAGCTTTCCATGCCAACGTATGACTGAATGTGGGAGCGGGTCGAAGATCGAGTCTTAGATCGGAGGCCATCGGTGGGCTTATTCGGGGACGGTCGGGATCCAGGTTTGGTGACTCGCATTCGATCGTTGACGGTAGAATGGGAACCTGTAGCGCTCGCCGAGTCGCGACGAGGCCTCGAGGTTGTGCCTTGCCGCTTAGAGGCCATGGCGTAGTAGTGATGTGCCCTGCACTGAACGGAGTCGTATCTTAGGGAATGTCTTAATGAAGACTGTCTTGAACTCGGTGACTAACCTGTGCTCGAACTATACGCAGAGCTTTCTGGCGATATAGCCAGTCGGAAGAGTGTCGAGGTGCACACCAGACTTAGCGCATGCTGGTTTGAGCTGTCGAGTGATGACGTTTGCGACGGTATGCGCCAGCGGCCGGAAGTCCGTTGTGAAGAAGCAAGACGGCACGTTGCAGTAGCGATTTGCTCATATAGTGTGCAACTAGAGATGGAGGAAGAATTGAGTGCGCACACCGACACACTTGTGTAGAAGAAAAGTCTAAAGTTTGGATATTTGGAGAGACTCGTCGAGGAAGGTTCACACCTTTGCGAGTGAGTTGGAGTTGGAGTTAGTGGGGCAGGTGCGTGCAACAGTGACTGAACCACCAACAAGAAGGAGCTCTCAGCCTTGCACTAGCGTCTTGGAGCACCTCAAGGCTGCCGCGGGCTGCCTACGCTTGTCGAGGGGCCCCGCAAACACATGGCCTATGCGCGGTTTATGAGAAAAATACTGCCAGACAAGTGGAAGTCTCCGGTTTCTCAACTCTTGAGAGTGAGTTTGCTCGCAGTCTGGCAGCATCAGGTTTCCCTGGCGCAATAGCAACGACACAAAGGATGTTGCACTGCAGAGTGTCGGAGGCTTGGAAAGGAGCAAGTAAATTCTAGCCGGCGAGGCAAGGTTTGGCTGTTAGTTGCTTTGCTCCGAGTTGCCGTGCGGATGGCAGCTCTTGCCCTGGAAGAAAACATCATGTCATGTCAAAGTGCAGAAATATTTGTTCAAGAAATTTGAGACAGGGTTCCATACTGCGGAAAGCAGGACCAACTTGATTTGGTTGTCGGAGCGAGCATCTGCGCAGTCGGATGCTTTCCGCTTCGCCTGGAGAGAATGGACCCACTACTAACAGGTCATGACCAATCACGAACATGCCTTACTGGCTTCCTCGAGTAACGTACCCGTACCTAAGGTAGGTAGGTATCCGCAGCCAAAGGCCCAAAGGCCAGCCAGAGCAGGCACAAACCAGTGGAAGACACCATACTCATAGCGCCCAGTTAGTTTCACTGTTAGGGAGCCTGGCCAGTGACAGACGGTTTGCAGAAGGCCCCCGGTCCGCCTCCAAAATTCAATTGCTCCGGGGTTGGATGATCCACGTTTTTTAAGCCATCAACGACCTACGACGCGCTTCCACTCCCGCTCTATCACAGCCTGTTCCTGTTATTGTCATCGCCCAGCGCCACCACTTTTGACCGTCAGGAACGCGCCGCCTTTCTTCAGCCAAAGCTAGAACATGGTTTTCTAGTCTACGGTCCGTCATATTTTAGGCTCGCTTCTCTCTTTTGTCAAAGCAGCCTGCCGCCCGGGCTACTTTTTCTTTTCCTTCTTCCTGACCAAGACCCGAGTCGCGGTCGCGTCTCGTTCGTTGGGTCCCACTCACTGTCTCGGCCCTCCTGTCGCATTGCTTACGAGTCACCACGACACCTCTTTGGCTCAGGTCTGGGACAAAAAAAAAAAAAAAACCAGACTTGCGCCTTATCCGAATCGTGCAGCCCGCCACTCTGGAGATCTTCTGCTTCAAGACGCCAGAAAGGAGACAACAGTGAGGTTGTGCCTCATTGCCCCTTTCTCGTGAGACTCGGCCTCTCACTTGCAGTCCTTCAATGAGCATCGAGACCAGACATTCTCCTTCCACTCTGGCTCGCCACGTTGAAGTGGGCTTTGCGAAGTAAGGGGCAACCACATCCAGGGTAGATTTGAAGGCTTACAGTCTTCATTTAGCCTTTCTGGGAAGCACCAAGCGGGATTATTTCTATAAACCTCTCATGGTCCCCCTTCACCAGCTATGACGCTTCACTCGCGGCGCCAGCGCAGTACCCCTTTTCTCCAGAGGAACATCTTGCAAGGCATGGGAAACACCCAGTCTTCGGCTTCCAAGGCCGCTGCTTCCGGAGATGTTTCCAACGCTCATCATGAAGTCCGCCCCAACAAGCGCCGTCGCATGGATGCCGATCATCAGCTCGCCGACCAAATATTTCAGGCACGAGACGTTGGCGACCTGCAGCGCAACCTGCGTGTCCAGGTCAACAGGATCTTCCACAGGGCCTCGAAAAGAATATCCGTCGCCCCTTCCGACGATGTCGTGAATCTCAAAGCGCGATGCAAGGTTTCGTTGTCTCATGTCACCAAAGCTGGTGAAGTATTGTTGTATTGCAACAGCCAGCTTTGCGATATCAGGTCCTTCAAGGATCCTGGCGGCCCAAACCGGATGGCGCGCATCTGCTTGCAACGCCCATTCTATATCCCGGAAGACAGCATGCGCATCAATCGCGACGACAATGGCTCCTTTGACTTGGCTGACTCTTACCGTCTCTGTGTCGAGCTCGAAGCTGCCGGCCCAACCTTTTGGCCCCCCATCAACATCAACTCTTCAGGCGACGATGCAAACCCTACCGAAGCCATACACTGGGTTCTCGCTGCCGCATCGTCAGATTTATTCACACGCAGGAAGGCACTACTAAACCTCAAAGTCAAGAAGACGCCGCAATCCCTTGGCCCGACAGAGCATGTCATTGATATCGATGCGCAGTGGACTACTGCCTTTGAGGCAGGCCAGATTCGGGCCGTGGAAGCGGGTACAGAGCCCTCCATCACAGTATCCGGCATGCTAGCGGCGCAGGACTCACTTCTCACGGATTACGGCCAGGAACCATTATACGAGAGTCCACCGGGAACTCCAGTCAAGGCTCCCAGAAACGGCGCTGTGAATGGGGATGTTCACGTGGACGAGGATCCCGAAGAAGAACTCACCCCTAATCGGTCCCTGAGAGTGCGCGGCGCCACCAAGAATTACAACCTGAAAGTCCTCAGTGACAAGGCCCAGGGCAGGGACAAGAAGCGGAAGAAACGCGGCGCCGCGAATGCCGTCGAAGAGGGAACCGTCACGTATCACCTGCCCAGCGAAAAGGTCTGCCTGGATTCCTTCCGCTGCATCACATGCGGCATGCCACATAGCTCTCTCCCTCAGCTGCAGGTTCACCTCATCAGTCTTCACGACCAGTATGAGTTCCGGCCGCAGTCTCGCGCGAAAGGCGCCGAGTTCGAAGTAGCACACCGCTATGAGACGTACACATTTGGTCCGGAGCCTTTCGCTCTCAGAAGACCTACAAAGGCGTTCGATTTGGACCAGTTCGCAGAGGGCAATATATCATTCTTAACATCACGGTTTGGTACCGAAGATCAGAGCACACCAGGGCCTCAACCACCAGGTCGCGGCAGCAAACAACCGCCTGCCAAACCCGTTCAGGTTCGTTCTCTTGCATGTGACCTCGCGAAAAGCTTGCTGACTTTATATAGACACGCTCGAAGATGCTTCTACCAGATATTGGACAGACGCTCTATGACCCCATCACCAGGGCCACATTACAACCAGGCACCGAGTACAAGAAGCCACCCGCTAGCGATAAGTGGCTCATCCAGTGGCATCGCGATGCCCTAGCGGACTTCTCTGATGTCCCGCCAGACGAGAGGGAGTACATGCAGGAATGGGACAAGTTCATGCTCACCAAGCGCCTCTCGTCTAGCATATACTTCCCTGCGGCGTGGCTAAGCTTTGTGAGGCTCAAGTCAGAGTGGCTTCTCTCTTCGCCTTCTCGCATGACTGAGTTTGGCAAGCACTTTACGTACCTGCTGGCGCGAAGCAGTCTCGACCACGGGACCGTCGTGGAGGCCCTCGACCACATCGCAACACGCAAGGCGAAACTCGGCATCAAGAACGGAGAGTACCCGACGCTGGTGCCCAAGGGATCGCCTCAGGGGCCTCATATCCGCAAGAGCGCCGGTGGTTGCTTGGTGTGTGGGCTGACTGTTCTGGGACCGAGGCTCCTCCTGTGTACGAACCTGGTGAGTGATTTACTCGTAATTAACCTTATCAACGACGCCAGCTAAACACTGTCTACAGGAATGCTCAAAACGGCTCTACCACTCGGATTGCATCAGCGAAAACGCAAAGATGAGCGTCGAGGACCCGGATTGGGTCTGCGATGAGTGCTTTGACAGACCAGCGGCAGAGCGGACGTAAGAGGATAGCCCAGCCACCGCCAGCATTGGAATCAAGACGGATACGTGTATAAAATAAAGTATTCACTCGCCAAATTCGAGGAATCAGTAGAAGAGAAGAGGACGGGGAAGATGGGAAAGAAAGATAGGGGAAAGGGAAGAGTGTGTGACGAGAGGAAGAAGAGAGAGAAGAATCATTTTCCATTCCGACGACAAAGCGGATGGCATCTGCATGGGGCAAACGGCGTCGCATCATGATTGGGGCGGCCGATAGAGATGGCGATTCTAGAGGCATCAGACATGAAATTTTATTAATTGCATCTCACTTTGAAATGATGAGGAAACCAAGCGCCTCCTTGCGATCAAAGTTGAGCGTGAAGAGAAAGAAAAACTTTTACGATTTCTAGCTTGTTTGTTTTTCGATCGATTTAAACGAGATATCAAAGACCAACATGCATGGGATCATCAAAATCGCGAAACAACGTTTAGAATTTCTGTATGCCCAACCCGGCGCCGATGCCCCTATTGCAACATAAAAAACCGTCCAAAAGACTTGGAGGCAAACTGCCAAAGTCTCAAGCCATACCATTACAGTTTCTGTCTCTCTCCGTCCCTTCTCAACAAAGAACCAGCCAACATAGTTTTTTTTTAGAACCTGTACTTGCTCTGCTTCTTCTTCTCGTCATTGCGCTTCTCGTCCACCTTTTGCCTCTTACGCGACTCCTGCGCAATCATCTCGGACAGGTCCTCCTCGTACGCCCACTTGGCACCAAGCCCCTCCTCGCGCTTCCCCTCCTCGAACCGCCGCTGCACCTCGTCCTTGCTGATGCCGTCGTTGTTGAGCAGCGCGTCTGGGTCGAGCGCGACGTCCACGTCGCCGGGCTTCTTGCGCTTGCGGCTGTCGTCCTCCTGGCCGAGCACGGGCATGTTGGCTTTCTGCTGGTTGAGGTCGTATACCCTGTCGCTGCCGAAGAAACCCTCGGTACGCTGCTGCCGCTCGGGAATGACCTGGTACGCCGAGCGCGGGTGCGAGCTCTCCTCCGTGTCGAAGCCGCGGCGCTGCTTGCGGAGGTCCATCTCGCCCGCCACCGAGGTCTCGACGCCGTGGCCCGGGAAATCCGTCGGTACGGACGAGACCATGCCCCCCGAGGTCTCGATGCCGCTCGGGCTGGCGAGGCCGCCGCCGGGGCCGTCCTCGTCTTCCTCTTCTTCGTCGTCGGATTCTTCTTCCGAGTCTTCCTCTTCCGACTCCTCGTCGCGGGGTTGCAGCTCACCCCAGAGAGTCTTCTCGACGGGCTCGCCGGTGGCCAGGGGCGCGGCGACGGGTGGTGCGATTTGTGCGCCGGCCTGGTTTGTGAGACCGAAGACGTCACCTCCGTACAGAGGGCGGTTGAATTCGTCGACGGGGGGCTTGCCCCAGCCACCCGGGTGGAAACCCCAAGAACCGCCTGGTGGCGGCGGGGCGTTGAGTCCTGGGATCTTGAGAGTGGGATATGATGGAGGGGGGCCGAATCGCTGCTGGTTGATGAGCCATGGTGGAGGTGCGCCTGGCGGCATACCCAAGGCCTCCTTTGTGGCCTCGGTCAGGTCACCCGGCCGGAAGTGCTGGAAGTCGACCTCGCTCTCCTTGCCCTCGTAGTACACCTCGCCGAACCGCGTGAGTTCCGGCTTGGTCTGGAAGCGGAAGAAGGCATCGTAGAGCTTCTGGTAGTCGATGTCCAGTTTGCCCATCTTGGGGGCGACACGCTCGCGCTGTTTCTGCTTCAGAGATTGCTGCTCCTGCTTTTCGAGAACGGCATCACGCATTTCTGTAATGCCCGTCTCGGCGATGAACTTTGGTAACCGGAAAGGCGGCTTCTCGATACCTCGCTTCGAGGAAAGGTATTCTCTCTTCAAGGCCCAGTGGCCAGGGACGGGTACCACGTTTCTTTGCGCCTTGATCTGCACGAGAAGGCGCGGGTCTGTGGATGAGGTGTCCTGCCACTCGACAACATCGGGTATCTTGACCAAGGCCTTCAGCTCCGCAATAGAGAGCTTGTTGAGTTGCTTCCTCTTCTTCTTGGAGAGCTTTGTCTGTCCTGATGCCTCTTCGTCCTCGCTGGGAATGTCGTCGTCGTCCCACAGTACCTCGCCCGTGTTGCCCGCATTGGCCTCCTTTGAAACTTCGTCCTCGTCTATTGCGACGCCGAATTTTGAAAAGATATCCTTGAACGCGGCAAACCTCTCATCGTCAAAATTGAATTCATCGTCGGCAGGGCCATCGGCTTCGACCTTGGCGTTGGTCTCGGACTCGTTCTTAACCTCGAGATCGTTTCCAGTCTTTTCTTGTGCTGCCTCGGTCTCGTCGGGCTTCTTCTCGTCGTCCTTGACCTCGGGAGTGTTTGACGCGACCTGCTTGTCCTTCACGTCAGTATCACGCGCGCATGCACCATCACGGAGCAGATGACGCACCTCTGTCTGGGTCTTCTTCTGCTCCTTCTTCTTCGCCCTCCGCATCTGGTTCTTGGTCATCTTTGGGGCCGCCATCTTGAATCGAAATGCGCCGTGGAGCTGAACGCTTTTGGTGTAGCTTGTGTTACGACGTAGCAGATCACTGCGGCAATGGTGAATCTTCTCGGGTCTATGCGAGGGCGCATGCTTTGGTGGAACGCAAAACGATAGTAGTGCTGCGGGTGCGCAGAATTGGGCTGAGGAGGAGAATCACAATGCGATGGGACAGATGAAAGTGGGAGTCGATTGCTTAGCAGCCTTCTGGAGGCGACTGGCGATGCGTGACAGCCGCGCCAAACTTTTGGAGGCTGCTTTAGAATTAAGTGGGTCCATAATCACGGCCGAGAACGGTACGTACCTATTCGCAATGCTCGAAAGTCAGAAGCTTGGACCGGCGCCGTTCAGTGCTTGCCAAGTCGTGTCGGTAGGCGGCGTTACTAATCATCCAGCAGCGCCGCAGCCCATAGGCGTCTCCCGTCAATGCCACGACGCCGTGCAAGCTGCAGGTCCCAATGGAACCCGCTGCGCCGGTCTTCCAGCGGGTTTAGTGCCCGGGCACGGGCTGTTGAATGCCGTGGTACTGGTGGGCGAGCTCCGTGGGGGGATGCGTTTCTGCCCCTTGCTCAGCAGGGATGGCAGCCACTGAAAACGAGCCATTCCTAAGCCGCGCTGCAGCACCGTGGGATTTTCGATTGATTGAGATGAGGACAGCTCCCCCAGCAAGGTACCTTGGTAACTTTAGGGAGCTGGCTTTTGTATGTAGGTACGTGTAAATCTCGCCCTGGCGTCGAGACTTTTTTTTTTTTTTCCATGCGAAAGAGAGAACGCCTGGCCTCCCATCATCAGAGCGTCGCCATCTGAAATCGACTTTACACAAAGCCAGAGACAATGCTCGACCTTAAGCAAGTCTAAAGTTTTTTTTCTCCTCTTCGCGCATGATTGCCGCATCTGTCATTCGTTTTCTCCGTTACAAGAGATATCTCCAGTAGGGGCCAGGCCTACGGATACCTAGAGGTACTAATTTACGAGAATCGCACACCACACCCTTGCCAGCATTATCAGCTACGGATTACGGGATACCTTGTCTTGATACCAAGAACTTTTGTCCCCGCCAAATTTCCCCCAGTGCTCGCGTCATGCCTCACTCCACAAGTTCTGGTTCTACAACACAAACCTCCTCGGTCAATCGGTCGCAGTACTCACCAAGACCGTACGGCGATAGCGATTCCCTCTCTGCTAACGGCAACGGCGGCATGGAGAAGTTCCCCGACCACATCGATTCCCACCTCACCAACGGTTCGAGGGCGCCGAGCCCGGCAAAGACGAACGGCTATGCCCTGCCAGGAGCGCCCGTAGGCGGCGACCGCTGGCAACCCAGAAAGGAGAGTCTGCAGGGTCGCAGCGTCAGATGGGGTGCGCCGGGACAGCAGCAAGTGCCGACGCGGTATGGCCATGGGAGGCAGAAAAGTCTGGGTGACGCCATTCACAGCATACGGACAAGAGGCGGAAGCGTCGGCCAGAATGCTCACGAGATAGCTGATGCGCTCAAGGCCCCTGTCTCTCCAAGGTTGATTGTGAGTCTTGCTTTGAATGCTTCTGCACCCTTTTTGCTTGCTGGCGCTAACAGCTCGCACACAGGCGCTCTGTGTTCTCTGGTACACTTCGTCCGCCCTTACGAACACGTCCTCGAAATCCATTCTCACGGCCTTCGACAAGCCTGCGACTCTGACCCTCATCCAATTCGCCTTCGTGGCGACCTACTGCATCCTCTTCGCCTGGCTCGCCAATATCTTTCCGAGTCTCAAGACGACGATACCAGCCCTCAAGCATGGCATCCGCTACCCTTCCCGCGATGTCATCTCGACGACCATGCCCCTGGCCGCATTCCAGATCTTTGGCCACTTGCTGAGCTCGACTGCGACCTCCAAGATCCCTGTCTCGCTGGTCCACACCATCAAGGGTCTCTCTCCCCTCTTCACAGTCCTGGCCTACCGCTTGATCTTCAACATCCGGTACTCCGTCAACACCTACCTGTCATTGGTCCCTCTGACTCTCGGAGTCATGCTCGCCTGCTCCGGCAAGCACAACAGCTACAAAGGCGAGCTCCTGGGCATCTTATACGCCCTCCTCGCCACCATCATCTTCGTGACGCAGAACATCTTCTCGAAGCGTCTCTTCAACGAAGCCGCCAAGGCCGAGGCCGAAGGCCAGTCAGCGCGGTCGCAAAAGCTCGACAAGCTCAACTTGCTCTGCTACTCCTCCGGCATGGCCTTCATCTTGACTGTCCCAATCTGGTTCTGGAGCGAAGGCACCGGCATCATCGGCGACGTCCTCCACGACGGCGCAGTCGACCTCAACGAAAAGGCGGGCTCCTTTGACCACGGCCGCCTCACCATCGAGTTCATCTTCAACGGCACATTCCACTTTGGACAAAACATCCTCGCCTTCGTCCTCTTGTCGCTCGTCTCGCCAGTGACGTACTCCGTCGCCAGTCTCATCAAGCGCGTGTTCGTCATCGTCATTGCAATCATCTGGTTCCGGAACCAAACCACCCCTCTCCAAGGAGCCGGCATCCTCCTGACCTTTGTCGGTCTCTACCTCTACGACCGGACCCACGACCGGGACAAGGCGGACCGCAAGGCGAAAATGATGGAGATCAAGGAGGAGCCCCTGCTGCCCCTGAACACAAAGGACGCCTTGAACGCCAGCCAGAATGCGCCCGTTTTTGAGAGCCCCATGGTCTCTGCTGGAGCCTTCCAGTCGTTTAGCAATGGGCACTCGCCTCACGGCGAAGATGCCAAGAAGTCGGACGGGCCTAGTAACGGTAGAGCCCGCGGCGCGAGTAACGCCGCCTGGCTCACGCGGGGTACTAAACAGGAAGATACCTGGCGGTTCGGGGACCGGTAGGGGGGCCAAGACGTAAGATGAGAGATAGGAGATGTAAAAACATGTCTTTTTAGCCAATTAGGTCGCAAGGAGTTCAATGTCAATGTACTATCATGATAGGCGCCTGCCTGGGTTGACGGCAATGTATGGATGAAAAACACGCACACACATGTTCTTGTAAGCTTGCCTTGGTTTTAGATGTAATCTGGGGATCTGGGCGAGGCATTAAGCAAGGTCAGCGAGATACCTAGACACCGGAAATCAAAGAAGGCTCCGGCGTTTGAATGTCATTCTTGATGCAGTTATAACTGAATTTCCACAGCGTTTCATGAAATTCGGCAGCACCTTTGTGACCCTTTCTTGTTGTCACTTTGCCTAGTTATAAGACATATCATCCACCGTCTCAACATCAAATCATACGTAACGCTGAATACCCAACTTTAGTCGATGAGCCATTCCTCCACCTCAATACCTACACTTCGCCCCACGCCCCGAATAATATCCCACCCGACATTAATCCTCCACTTCCCGCCCCGATCCATCGGATCGCCAGCCGTCCCAACCTTCATCAGCAACCGCAAACTCGCAAGCGTCGAGATGGCCATGCCCACATCTCCATCCACCACGCTGCCGCCGACGGTACCAAACCCACCCACGTCGGCGGCAGCCCACTCGCTCCGTACGGCGGCGAAGATGGCGAGCATGCGCTCCAGCACGAACGCGTGCGCGCCGAGCAGCTTGCGCGAGATTTTCTTGTGTTTGCTCGGTCGACCACGCTTGGGCGCCACGAAGCCCCCGCCGCGGCGTTTGCGGCGGCCGTGGTGGTATGTTGAGAAGAGGGTTAGGTCGTGGCGGGGCGCATTGTGCGAGGCTAGGTAGGCGGCCAGCAACAGCAGGCGGGTAGTTGTCGGGAGGAGTGTTGTGAGTTCGGCGGTGGCGGTGCTCAGGGCCGTCTGGCCGGCCGTGCCGTGCTTTGAGGAGGGTGTGCCGTGCTTGGAGGGCGTGCCGGCTGGCGTATGACCATTCGTCTTCGTCGTCGGCGTCGTCGTAGAAGAAGAAGATGGATTGCCGAGCTTGATGGAGACGATACTCGGGTTCAGCAAGCTCTCGTCCTGGAAATGCACGCGCGAGGCGATGAGGAGCTTGGAGAACTCGCGCGGACCGTGAGTGCGGGCCAGTATGGGCGCCGTGAAGCGCGGCCAGAGGGCGTCGCAGCTGTGGCGGCACGAGGGTAAGGTGCGGGATGCCGAGGTGGTGAGGGCGTCGCAGACGGCGCCGACGAAGCGAGTCCAGAGGAAGTTTGTGTCTTCTTGCGTCGTGGTCGGGGTCGGGGCCGGGGGCGAGGCCGAGATGATTTTAATGAATTCCTGCTTGGTGTAGTTTGGGAATTGGATGTGTAAGACAAAGGATGTGCGGAGGCTGGATGGGGAGGGGGCGGTGACGATGAAGACGCAGGTTAGACATGGTATCTAATGGACGGTGAAGTGTTAGTTATACCATGGTTGAGTTGAGCGTGGACGGGGTTATATATGATCACTCACCACTTCGGATAGCCGCGCTAATGCTGGGAGGAGAGTCGCAGGAGCGTCCCTCTGCTGGTCAATTGCGTCAAAGACGAGCACGAGGCGCCAGCCGTCGGGTCGTTGCGTGTACTTTAGCATCTTGCACAGCTCAACCATCAACTGGGCCAACGTCTCGCACTTCTTGGGTGGAGCTTCCCATTGTATCGCTTCCACAACGGCAGCGATTGTCCGCTCGAATAGATGTCGGCCCGTAATACATTGTATGGAGTTGACAATGGCGAAGCTGAGAGTGGTTTTGGGTTCTTCGTCGGGTTCTTCGTCGGGTTCTTCGTCGGGGGGCTTGGAGAGTTTCTGCAGGAGTGACTCGACGATGGCTGACTTTCCGGTGGCTTCGGTGCCGTAGACGATGAGGTTCCGGCAGGGTGCGGCGGCGGGCTGAGGTGTTGAGGATCAGTGTCTGGTTTTCCGCAGGACTCAACTAAAGACTTGGCGACTTACATGGAGAAGAGTAGCTAAGGAACGGATCTGACGTTCGCGGCAGGGGAAACGCTCGAACAAGGAGGATAGGAGAAGCTCCTCAGGGAGCTGGAATAGAGATGCCATGTCAATTGGTGCAATGTCTCTGAGCCTTTTCGCAACTGTCAACTCTGAAAAGAACGTTGCGTCTCCCGGAGAAGAAAACCGGGGATACGGGCCGGAAACTAAGACCGCCGTGTCGCGTGCGCAAGGTACTACGGATACTCCAAGAGGAAAGGACCTGGAAGCCGCTGAGACGCGAAGTCATGTGACCGGAGCATCGGCCCATCTCGGGCCCCTCACACGGCGGGCGCAGGGGCCAAAAGGGCCCGCGTGCGTTGGGACCCAGGCGCCCTGTGCCGGGCGCAGCTCCAATCTTTGAGTCTTGACCACACTCAGTTTTAGCCCGCCTGCGGCAGTGCGGCCTCACAGGAACCTCTTGGTCTCACCTCCTTCCTCTCTCTCTCTGCGTCTCTCTCCCGTCTGCCCGCCCCCTCCTACTTCTCTCGACCAACTGTGCGCCAAGTGTCAAATGTCCACGTTCCCCAAAGATCAAACAAACATGCCCGTATCCAAACCCACCCCAACGCCCAAAAGGGCAACCCACGGAGGGTTGACAGCAGGGAGAAGGGTACTGCGGGAGGCGCAGTGCTTCTGCGGATACACAGTACCGTACATTTCTACCCATGGAATGAACAAACTTGTGTGTGTTGCCGGGTGCTAAGAAGGCTTGCGCAAGCCTCTTATCCGTCCCTTTTTCCTTGCTGCTGCTGCTGCACATGCTTCGTGGCCCAAACCTTACGTCAACGGCATGGAACACCATGTACTGTTGCGGCGCGTTCGTTTCTTTCCAAAGGCACTTGAGGCAAGCTTCTCTGGCTTCTATTAACCCATCTCATTAAAACGGGCATGCCACACCTTCGAAGGATTCGTGCCGCCCAACGGGGAAAAGCGCTAGTCACCCGTCAGATGAGAGTCAGAGAGAGCTCGTCAGCTCGTTGTGGGGTCGATGATCTCTCCATTGTGGCTTTGATAACTAAAGTAATAACCACCAGCCTCCTAGGGAAGGCAGCAGCATCAGACTCCGTTTGTTCGTGAGGCCTCACACACACTTAACCCGACACAACTTGAGCCGGCATTTGCATATTTGAACCAATGGAACCAACCACCTTAACCCCTGGGGGCAAAAAGAGACAAACTTGAAGCTAGCGGGCCGACTAATCAGTGCGAAGGGGGGACTGTGTTTTAAGGCTTCATCCGATAACTAGGCGTCTCATTCCGTCAGCAGCGTCACCCGCCCACGGAACTCTGTTTCAACCCCGACGACATCTCTACTTCCCCCGTCCGGCCGTTGGACATCATCCCTAAAAAAGTAGAGGTCCGAGCATCACCACTCGTTCAACGCCTTCTTCCTAGCGTCCCGAACTTCACACACTTGACAATTTCGAACGACGTACCTTTCCACCTCATTGCCACTACCGAGAAAGCCTCTCTTTCTCTCCCTCTCCCCACACTCATCATTCATCTCACCCCAAAGACCTCACCCCATCTCACTTCATCCCCGTAGTCATCCTTCCTCCCATCCTGAATCCTGACGCCTGTGAGACTGAAGGGCAGCCACTTGGTCCAGGTTCACCATTGAGACGAGAGAGTCGGGTTTGGCCTTGGGGGGCCCCGTGAAGGACAGACACACACACACACACACGATGACCATCCTCTCATCCTCCGGACAGTCAGACTCAGCGGACGCCGCCGCTACCACCGCAGGAGGAGGCTCATCAAATCACATCGAGGATAAGCCATACCACTCAAAACGGCCTCACAAGAAGTCCCGGACGGGATGCAAGAACTGCAAGACCCGCAAGGTGAAGTGCGATGAGACTCGTCCGACGTGTCGTAACTGCGTGCTCCGCAAGGCCAATTGCGTCTACCCCGGACCGTCCCACTCCCCGGGATCGCCATCTGGCTCCTCCGCCGGGCCCTTCTCCCCGGCCCGCTCGCGGTCTCACACGCCGCCGCACCACCACAACCACAACTACGTAGCCGGCGGCGCCGGCGGCGGCGACGACGACGCCAATGCCCTCGTCATCAGAGAACCGCTCTACATCCCCGCCGGCGACAGGGATGTCATTGACATGAAGCTCCTCTGGTTCTACACCACAAACACCTTCACATCCTTCGCCACGCAAGCCGGGCGCGTGAAGCGCATCGACGACATCCTCAAAGTCAAGATCCCAGGTCACGCCTTCGAGAGCCCCTTCCTCATGGACTGCCTCCTCGGCACATCCGCCCTCCAGCTCCAGCACCTAAAGCAGGACATCGCCCCCTCCCGCGCCCTCCGCTACCGCGCCCGCGCCTTCGAAGGCTACCGCAAGGCCATCGAGGAAGGCAAACCGGAGACCTTTCCCGCACTCATCGCGACATCCTTGCTTCTCACCGCCCTCTCCTCGCAAATGTTCCGCGAAGAGGGCACAAAGGACCTCTACATCATTGACTGGATGGTCGTCTGGCGCGGCATAGGCCTCATGATCGACATGGCCACGCCGCAGACCCTCTGGGATTCGGGGCTGGCGGAGCTCTTCATGCGCCCGCCCATCAACCTCGACGAGGCCGCCAAGCACATCCCCAATAACCTGCTCTTCATGGTCTCCTCAATTCAGCCTGGCGACCCGGACTACGACGACATCTCGACGTACTACGACACGCTAAAGTACCTCGGCTCCCTCTACGCCGAGCTCGTCAACGGGTTCGGGCCCATCATGACACTACGCGTCGTGACGTGGTTCACTTTTATACCCAAGGGCTTCGTGGAGCTCGGTAGGGAAAAGAGGCCCCGCGCGCTCGTTATTCTGTCTCATTATCTCATGTTCATGAAGGCGACGCAGAATCTGTGGTGGATCGAGGGGATCGGCGACCGTGAGATTGCGGGGATTGTGAATTATCTGGGTGAGGGATGGTATGAGCAGCTCGCTACGCCGCGTCTGGTTCTGTTGCTGGAGGACCGTACTGATATTGCGCGGCTGATTCTGGGTGATCCGGATTGGGAGTCGCCCATTGACTTTTACAATGCCCCGACGCGGGATCCTCGGACGGAGTTGCTCACTTGGGTTGACGACCACGGCAAGCGGTATAAGGGTATGCCGCAGCGTGTTGGGGATTTACACCCCGCGGACCCGGCGCCGCGGACGTTACCCTGGGAGAGGGACGGTTTTCATCATGATCCGATGATGCTCAGTCCCGCGGGGCGGCGGTATGCTGAGAGGGTGCTAGAGGCGATCGACTCTGGAGTTCAGGACATGGATGTATCCTAATGATGCCGGGAGCCGCTTCAGTTCATTGAAAGGCGACGGGGTTTCCACCAATGTTCGATTACAATACCCATCTGGCGTACTTGGTTCATAGGATGCAGGGAATGCCGTGATTGTCTGAAAGTTGCCAGTTTGAGAACACAGAATGGGCGCAATCAATAGGGATCCTACCGGATTTCATACTTGACTTAGAGCAGGATTCCTGATGTAAACAGGAAAGGGGAATCTGCAGCTTGGGGAGAAGAGTTGCAACAACACAGCCATAGAAGACGTTTCCACGTGTCTCCTGCTATGAGAAATCACCATGTGGTAATATGCGAGAGAAAACTTTCAAATCGAGAAACACTGTGGATATAACTAGGAGCAAAATTATGATGAAGCACCCTCACTGGCCGTGGAATTCCAGTGCTTTAAACCCTGCCAACCGCTAGATTCAGGCCTATACGACCGTATCCACGAGCTGTCTCACTCTAGCCGGAGATCAAACTAAAGAGTGCGCGAGAAGGATTCCCTTCTAGAAATCAAGAAAATACTAAAAAACACCCGTGCAAACGTGCGCTGTTTTGTGGGACTTTCAGACCGCAATACGAGCAAGTTATCCTGATGTCTCGTGTTGCTGGAACGTATGTTCCCGCGTCAGGGTGATCCTTCTTTCTATGGTTGATGAGATCTTTCTCTCTCGCATAACCCTTGGCACCAGTCTTAGTACAGTCTCTGACTGTGCATGGGAAGTGTGTGAAGTTGTGGGCGTTCTTCATGTGTTTAGTGTACTCCCACTGTGACGCGAATGGCTTGGAACGGTCCTGTTCTTCGCGACTGAGGGGTTTGAAGTTGCCATCCCGGTGATGCAAGCAATCCGCAAAGTGGCAAACCGGAGGTGTCTGGTATTTGCCTCGACGGGAAGGCAAGATGTCTTCGAATTTCCCCTCAGCTTCGAACTTGTGGTAGCCGCGCACATGCTGCAGAAGGTGATCTCTTCTTCGGAAACCAATTTCGTCCCGGTGGCTTTTGCAGAACAGACAAGGGTATTTCGGCATGTCGGTCCCCATGGAGTCAAAATGCCGGTTGAGGACATCAAGTCGAGCGAAATTCTTGCCACATGAACAAGAAAAGGGGTTATGCTGTGCTTCGTTGGCGTGCTCCTGTAGTTTGGACTTGTTTTTGAAGTGCTTCGAACACTCCACACAAGCGAATGGATGCCCCGTTTCAACGCGCTCGTGGCCCTCAAGATGAGGTCGGCGTTGATGAGCGTCACGCTCTCCTCTCGCTATGAAACCTTTACCACAGCCTTGGAGTGAGCACATATATGCCTTATGCTGAGTGTCCTTAGCATGCCATATAAGGTCCCATTTACTCTTATCAAATTTGCCGCCGCACTGCGCACAAGTCACGTCCGCGTCTGCCGCAGTCTGGTCGGCTGAAGCAGTAGAAGCTACTTCCAAGGACCCTGAATCAACTTGGAATGAAGCGCTGGCCAATGATGATGTCAACTCATTGCCGCCACCTTGACTGCAATGATGCATTATGCTATCTGCACTAAGACTGTGTTATTTGGAGGGAAGGCATATAGAAAGGGGCGGGGGAGCTTACGACCAATCATTGCCAGGGGACTGAGACTGCATGCCAGGAGACTGAGACTGCTGAACAAGTGGACTGACACCCTTTTTGTTAGCAAGTGCTAAAAAAAAAAGTCTCACGGATCCAGGGGGTTCGCAGCGCCAAGAGCGCCATCGTCGACGTGGCCGGAGTCGTAGTAGCCAGTAGGATCAAGGAGATCCTTAAAGCTCATGTCGGCGGCATAGTTCTCGGTGTCGAGTTCGGCAAGGAACTTAGTGAAGTCGCTGGTCCACTTCTCGTCGTCAGACATGGTGAGCTTGGTCGATTGCATGGGTGCGTTGAAGCGGCGATGGAAAATCAGGCTGTGATGGGAGCTGTGCTCTGGAGTAGAGTCGCAAAAGAGGTGCGGATGAATGTTGGTCGAGGAGGAGAGGGGGACGGGGACAGAGGCAAGCTTATCTCACTCTCAGAAGAGCCTCCCAACATGCCTCCCGCTGCTTTAACGGGAAGACCTCAGCAGAAGGGTGACGAGAAGAAGAAACAACTGTGATAGGTTGGAGGAGCAAGCCACCTTCCACCCTATTTGTATGGGAGACGGAAACCGACACCCATTTTCTGTGAGATAAGGAAAGTGAGGCTGCTGGAAGCGGCCATATGCAGGTTGGGCTGGGTTTGCCTCAAGTAGGCAACCGCAATACACAAGGAAGTCAGGCGAACCAGAGAAGCAGCGAGGGAGAGTTCGCAAGTTATGGTATGATGTGTATTCAAACAACCAAACTCCAATGAGTAACAACAACATGAAATCGTTCATAGCATTTTCCAAACCAAGTAAAAGCCCCTTCATCCAATCAGAGAATCTCGAACAACAAAAAATGATATCAGAAGATAAACAAAAAATGTAAAACACACTCAAAACTTCGCCTCTATGCAGTCCTTTAGTACAATATGTACAAATCCACCTCTTACTGCTGCTCAAACAAAAGCGACCTGGGGTTCCCAAGCAGAATCTTGAACGTCTCCTCAATCTTATCAAGCAACTCCGCAGCATGGCCCTTCCACGACTCAAACGTGACAATTTCAATCGTCAACTTATCACCCTGGGGGAACGCCTGGATCTTCCACTCGCGAAGCGGCTCCTGCTGCGGGTAAATCGTCTCCATGCGACTGCTCGCCGTCTCGAACCCAAGGCTCTCGACGTGCTCGACGTCCTGGTGCACCACCGTGTCAAACCAGTCCACCGAGGCGGGCCAATCGGTGCACAGCTTGGCAATCTCGGGCAGACCGATGCCCTCGTGCGCCGAGCTGGCAATGTGCTGGTTCTGCACGAGGTTGAGGAGGTCGAGGACCGTCCAGTCGTCCTCGAACTTGACGCGCACGGGGACGTATTGCCAGCAGGGGCCGACGACCATGTCGGCGTTGGGGAAGTCGATGTTGCGGCCGCTGACGACTTCGCCAAAGGTGACGTCGCGCGTGCTCTGCAGGCGGGCGAGGGTCAGGGCCCAGGCTGCGGTGGGGAGGGTGGCGATGGTAACGTCCTTGGAGCGGGTTGAGATGTCAAAGGTCCTGTCGATGGCGTAGTGCTGTCTCTCCGTCACCGGAGTATCAGGCTTCAAGACATTGACGGAGGATCCTTGCAGAAGCTCATTCCAGTAGTCGACGCTCTGGGGGATGTTGGACTTGACAACGTGGCCGACGAAGGAGGAAAAGGGGAGAGCCTTGGGAACGGGCTTGCCCTCGTGCAGGGCCGACAGCTGGTGCAGCATGATGGGCAAGCAGATCTCGTCGTACTGGGCATGCGAGACGCGGAACACCAGGGCGGACTGGCCGTTGCTGCTGTGGACGAAGAACCACTTGACAAAGATGGAGCCAAGCGGCATCCGGGTCTGGACGTCGAGGTTGCAGAGGTCCTTGACAAAGGTCTCGACGTCGCTGTCGATCTCGTACTCTACGACGGGGGTCTTGACGTCTTCAAGGATGACGCTCAAGCAAGCGCCGTTGTGCTTGACAAAGACTGATCGCAGCACCTCGTTAAGAGAGACGAGCTCTTGACAGCTCTGGAAGAGACGGGGGCGGTCGACGTCGCTCTCAAAGTACATGGCCTCGTAACGGGCAGAGAAGCGAGGGATCTCAATCGTGCCCTTGACGGCGACCTCCTGCAACGGTCTTGCGGGGAAGGCGTCGACAATCTTCCATGTCGGGTCAGCCAACAGGGGGCGGAGAGTTTCTGCCGGGGCATCGCCAAGGTTCTCGACCAGCTCAAAGGGAACGAGAGCCTTCAAGGCCTCTTGGGAGTCTGACGTGGGTTCAGAGTCCTGCAGGACGCTGGCCATGTCGTACAGCGTCCTCTTCGTGAAGACCTGGTTGACGGTAAGTGTGAGGCCAGCCAAGCGGGCCTCGGAGACGAGCTTCATAGCACCGATGGAATCTCCACCAAGACGGAAGAAGCTGTCGTTGAGTCCAATGTCACTCTCGGGGAGCCTGAGTACACGGCTCCAGAGAGTTCGCAGACGACGCTGCTTGGCGGACGTGGCAGAGATGCGCTTAGTAGGCGCCTTGGCGGCAGTGCTGGCCTTTTGGACCAGATCGCTCGTCTTGCCGGCGATCTCAACAGATCCATCCGCGTTGAACTTGGCGAGGCGCTCCGTCTTGTAGAACTTGCCAGCGTCCTTGTTCTCAGCCCACGAGGGGTTCTCTAGCGTGGAGAGAGACAAGTCGGACTTGCTGACAACGACCAGTTCACCAACAACTCCAAGAGGGGCCAGAAGCGCAGAGTCGGTCGGGTGGACGATGTAAACCGCCTCGGCCTCCGGGTACTCCTGCTGAACGCTCTTGGCGCTCTCGGTGCTCAAGCGAGCCACCTCGGTCTTGTCCTCCTCAGTCAGGTACGCGACGTCGCCAAGTGGCGTATCGGTAAGCTGGCAAAGCTTCTGCGCCACCTGAGAGAACTGGGCGAGTGCCTTCTCCATGAGGGGCTTCTGAACAGTCTTTGAGTCGAACGAGGCCATCACCAAGAAGCCCTTGGGGTCCGTCGAGCAGACTAGCATGAGGGCGTAGGTGTTGAACTTGAGGGCTTCCTCCGCGGCCTCCGCGTCGCCGGCGGGCACCAGACGGTTGGCGGGGTACTTGTTGAACTCTTCCTGGTCAAAGTCGTCGGCGCTCGGGTGCAGGACGAGACCGGTCCTCAGCTCGCAGGCCTCGAGGGCATCCGGGCTGAGACGACGAATGTGCTGCAAACCGGTGTGCTCGTAGGGGATCTGTTGGATGGTCTGGTCCTGGATTTCTTGGAGGTAGTCGATGACGAGCGTGTCGGCGTTCACCTGGGTGCGGAAGGGGACGGTCGTGATCATGGGGCCCTCGATTTCGTCGGAACCTCTGATGGGCGCGTTACGACCGGTGAGAGTCTCGCCAAAGACGACGTCGTTGGAGGAGGCATAGTGGGATGCCACATAGGCCCAGGCACCGCGGATCACGGTAGCGACGGTGGTGTTGGACGCAGGTCTGCCGCTCAGGGGCACGTAGACTTCCAAGAGAGAATCGGCCTGCGTCTGGTAGCCCTCGTACGGCAGCGGGGGGAACTGGGTGGTGGCAGCGGCGCCCTGGAGCTGTTCGCGCCAGTACGTCTCGGCGGCGCCTCGGTCCATGCTGCCGAGGTACTTGATGAAGTCCTTGAACTCGGCAGGGCGCTGGGCTCTTTCTCCGTCAAAGGCCTTGTTGACCTTGTCGACGATGAGAGGCATGCACCAGCCGTCATACAGGGCGTGGTGCATCGTCAGCACGAACTGCACCTTGCCCGACGCATTGTCCGTGACGAGGGCGTAGCGGACGAGGGGTCTGCCGAGATCCATTCCTTCCTCGCGGTCCTTGACGAGGTAGCCCTGGAGGTCGTCGCCAATGTGCCAGGCAATGTCTTCCTTGACGACGACCTGGGCGAGGCCGCGGCCGGGTACCTGGACGACTCTCGTGCGGAGGATGGCGCAATCTGCGGCGGCGACGTCGAAGGCGTTGCGGAGCTTGTCTGCCGTTGCCGCGTCCGCGAGGTCGACGACTCTCTGAGCGACGTAGGCCGAGGTGACCTTGGCCGACAGAGCCATGAGACCCTCCTGAAGGGGCGTGCAGGGGTAAATGTCCTCAATGGCGGACTCGTCGATGTCACAGAGCTTGGCGGACTCGGCGCGGGCCTCCTCGGGGGTCCATCCTTCCTCGAGGAGGGAGAAGGGCGCGACGGCGGCCTCGTCTTCCTTGGACACCTTGGTCGCGTTCTCGGCCATGGCCTTGAGCGTGGGGAAGTTGAAGATGGTGGCGACCGTCAGGGCGATGCCGTCCTCCCTAGCGGCGGCGACGAGCTTCATCGCGCGGAGGGAGTCACCGCCGAGGGCGAAGAAGCTGTCGTGCAGACCGATGGCGGTCTCGCCGCCCAAGATCTTGATCCACACCTGTTGCAGCGTCTTCTCCATCTCCGTCTCGGGGTCCGATTTCTCGGTGGGTGCAACGCGCAAGCGGGCGACTTGTTCGCGCGACATGGAGCCTCCGAGCTCGCGCAGGCGCTTGCGGTCGATCTTGCCTGAGACCAGGGAGGGCATCTTGCGGAGGGGGATGTAGGCCGAGGGGACCATGTAGCGGGGGATCTCTGCGCCGAGGGCAATGTCGATCTCGGCGATGGCCTGGCTGAACTCGGGAGAGAAGGTAGTGACGTCCCCGGCCTCGGCGTCCGCGGGACCGTCAACGGGGTTCTGTTCGACGACGAAGGCGACGAGAGTCGGCTCGCTACCGGCGGGTTTGATGACTTCCGCGACGATCTTGACGCCCGAGGGCATCTTGCCCCGGAGGTGGTGCTCGACCTCGGCCAGCTCGATGCGCTGACCGCGGAGCTTGACCTGCTGGTCCTTGCGGCCGACAAAGGCGATGGAGCCCGTGCCGTCCGGGTCGTAGCGGACCAGGTCGCCCGTCTTGTACAGGCGTCCGTGTCTGCCGCGGGCGGGACCGCCGCCGGCGAGCAGCCAGGCCGGGTCCTCGATGAAGACCTCGTCCGTCTTGGCCTTGTCGTTGAGGTAGCCCATGCCGACGACGGGGCCCTCGATGAGGAGCTCGCCGACGGCGCCGACGGGCATCAGGCGCTCGTGGTCGTCTGGGTCGACGATCCATGTGAGGCCGCCGGTGCCCTTGCCGATGTTGGTGGAGGTGCTGCTGACGTTGCCGTTGATTGTGCAGCCGACGGTGCACTCTGAGGGTCCGTAGGCGATGATGACGCTCGTGGTCTTGCTCCACGTCGAGGCATCGCCAGCAGAAACGGCTTCACCTCCGAGACCGAGGACCTCGAGGGAAGGAATGACGTCCGCATCAAGGACGCGGGCGACGGAGGGGGTCATATGCGCCATGTTGCACTTTGAGTTGCGGATGGCGCCGCTGAGGTCGTTCATGCGGTCCTCGTCGGAGGCGATGCAGAGACAGCCGCCGGCGGCGAGCGTGCATAGCATGCAGTCAATGCTGACGTCAAAGGCGTACGAGGCAAAGTCGAAGCAGCGCGAGTGGGCGCGGTAGCCGACCTCCCAGCCGCGGGGCACGGCGCCGCTGGTGAAGTTTTCGTGGGAGATCATGACGCCCTTTGGCTTGCCCGTGCTGCCGGAGGTGAACTGGATGTAGAGCGGGGACGAGGGCGGGACGACGGGAAGCTCGGCGGCGAGCTCGAGGGTATCATTGTTGAGGGTGTCGTCCGAGGCGACGACGAGAGTCTGCTCGGGCGCGATGCGCCGGCCGAGGTCGCTCTGGTTCTGGGAAGTGACGATGACGGTGGCGCCGGTCTGCTCGACGATGGTGCGGAGACGGGCCTCGGGCTGGGAAGGGTCTGTGAGGGCGAAGGCGGCGCCGGCCTTCATGACGGCCAGGAGGGCGACGGTGGTCCAGCGGGACTTTTCAAAGCACATTGGCACCGTGGAGCCGACGGTGACGCCGCGGGCGACGAGGTGGCGCGCGAGGCGGGTGGAGAGGCGGTCGACGTCGCCGTAGGACAAGTTGCCGTCCCAGGACTCGACGGCCGGCCTTTCGGGCCCCTTGGCCGCGACCTCGGAGATGATGTCCTGCATGCACTTTTGCATGTTCTCAGGCAGCTCGGCGTTCCATGTCCAGAGCTGCTCAAGGTCCTTTGCCGTGGGACCGATGGTGTCCGAGACCTGGCGGTAGGGCTTCTCGAGGATGGTGGTGAGGATCTCGATGAAGGAGTCGAGCTGGAAGATGGCATGGCGGTAGGAGAGGACGGCGCGGTCCCATTGGGCCTTGACCACCAACTGGTTCTCGTTGAGCGTCGCCTCGATCTGGTACGTCCACTGGAGTTCCGGGGGTCAGCATTGTTGAACTGGACATTTGTATAAGAGAGAACAGAGTTACGGAAAGGTCGTCTACGTACGTCTTGTGATCTCTTGGAAGGCGCCTTCTCAGAGTTGCCCTGAGATTTGGGCGCTCCATTGTTAAAGTATATCACCGGGATGGTCTGCGTTTCACTATCGAGACCGCTCTCGCCGAGCTCCTTGATGACCTGCAAGGCCTCTGCTATCGAGTCGCTGTTCTTGAACGGCGCCTCGCTCAGGCTCAGGCTGTTGTGTGTCGCCGACGACGGTTCCTGGCCGTCCCGCGTTCTGAATCCCCAGTTCACCTTGCTCAGGCCGTCGTCATTGTTGCGGTGGAGGACGAGCAGCCATGCGAGGAGGAGCTCGTGTCTAAAGTCGCTTACACCGGCGGTGGCGGTAGTGGACTCGGCCCGCGATGTCACGACAACGGTCCTCGTTGAAGAGGGGTTCACGGTGCTGTTGCCGTTGGTCAAGCCGTTTGTTGCGCCGTCAGCGAGGCCTGTTTCTTGGTAGGCGGTTCCGCCGCCTTCGCTGTCCCGCAAATGCATCGTGCGTTTGGTTTTTGTTTACTTCCGGAGGGGGAGAGGGGGGTATCGAAGAGAGTAAGTGGTGGTAAGGAAGAGGAGGTATGGAGGGGTAAGTTAACGAGCGTTATGAAGTAATTCGAGGTTGAACCCGCAGCATTTCACAAGCCTTTGGACAACGATGGCTTCCTTTTCTTGCAAAATGTCGTCTTGTAAGGGACTTGTTGAAGAAAGATGTTTGGATTTTTGTCTGACGAGGACGATCAACCGGTCCAAGGGTGGAGAGCTACCCTTTCACTCACACATACGCAGCGTACGCAACATGCACCAAGACTCGGAGGAGTCTTGTATACGCCAGTAACCGCGAGAGGCTCTTATGTGTGCGACTCTGCAGGTTGTCAGGCAGGTATCCTTGCATGAACACTACCCGAGAAACATACATGCCTTCCCGACTTCTTGATTAGATCGACGAACCCCATGGCTGGGTACTGCGGTATGTACCTTGCGGCGGCGCTGCAGCCGAGCTACGTCTCCTCGCAGACCGAGCTGGATCATGGATTGGCGCGCTGCCGCTGCGGAGAGCAAGCGGAGGAGGGTAAAAAAAATAAAAAAAGCCTGTGAAAGAGGAAAGGGCGTGCATGTTTTTTTTTGCCCCGGGAACCACCAGACACACCAGTCAGTTTCTTGCGATGTCCATTGATGGGAAGGGCAGATGCGAGCCACAACGGCGCAACGTGCCTAATCCATGGAGCCGTCCGGGTGGGTATAGCAGAAATGGGTTGTGTAATGTGTGACTTTGTGCCCGTATGTGTGTGTGAGAACGGAGTATCTGGTACGGTTACTGGTCGTGTATTCCGCCCATTTTCGACTTCGGCGCGAACGAATGGGCCTGACTAAACAACCTAGGAACCACCAAAGGAACCCTAGTATAGGTATGCTGCATGCAGAGCTATTGCGACTGTACCACAAAGTTAGCATTATGGAACTTTAGGCGATGGAGAGTGAGAGAGAGGGACGTCAGATGCGAACGAGTTGAGCACACCCCTCGCAGCACCAATGAGGCAAGAGTTTCATGACGGGTCCCCTTGAGCTAAGGCGCCATCTCATCATACGTTCTCGTGGTTCTGGACGGGAGGAGAAAAAGGTACAATACTCGGGAGGAGTGAAGGAGGGAAAAAAGAGAGGCAAGGGGGATGATGGGACGGGGAGGGGAGGGGCGTGTGATGATGTCGTGGATCCCTCCGATGCAACCTTGCAAAAAAGAGGAACGGAGCAGGAGCTTGGGGAGCTGGGAGGGTGCAAAGTACAAAGGTACAAGACCGGTCCCTGACCGGGGACTGTGGGGCCAAAAGACGGATCTGATTAGGAGCGCCAAGGGGGCGTGTCCCGCTTGTGGGCCGGAGGCGAGCGCCGGGAGGACATCGGCGTCCCTCATTTCTGCAGCAGATTTTTTCCCTCCAATTTCCAGACTCTTCAATTATTATCTGCCATCTTTTTCATGGTCAAGTCACTCAAAGCTGTCCAATAACTGGCAACAAGGGTTGGAGGGGGGTGGCTGTCTCGCCGGACGGTGACACACGCAACGAGGGAAAGCGCCGGCTCGAGGACGCGGATCTGATAACTTTAACGCGCCCATCGGCCACTCCCAGTCCTCCCAGGATGTGACGAACAGATTAATGGATCATGCAATGTCGTGACCTTTTCTTGACAAGTGAAGGTGTCCCGCCTCACATGTGGAGGGGAGGGGGAGAGCCGAACCCCAGCTCCAAGGTAAGGTAGCACTTGCTACTGTACTTAGTATAGTATAGGAGGAAACTGGGCCCTTTTTACACAATACTACTGTGAAATGTGAGAGGAATCGGGTCCTTGGCTAAGATAGGTAGGCGCACACTGCCACACACACATGGGGTTAACGGGCAAAAGGGTTTCCTAAAGATGGGTATAACGGCTCTGCGTCATCCAGTCAGCGCTCATCAAGCCCATTATCCATGAAGGGCAACGCTGCTTGTTTCCCTTCTTGGGGTTTTCCCGCTACGGTGCCGCTGACGGCGGACTGCTCCCCAAGTCCCAACGGTTGCGGCATTTCCTTACGATCCCCTTCAGGGATTAATCGAGAACTGCCGCGTCAACCCCCCGTTGTATTTTGTGCGAGTACAGTGCGTGGCATTGCGAGTCCTGTCACTCTCTATCTCCTTGAGGATTCTACCGGTCGTCGGGACCGACCTGCTCGGAGCTGCTCCAGTTCCGTGAGGGAAAAGTCTTCAGACGAGTCCCCAGCCTAAATACTCATACCACCAACGCACTGTGGTGGTCCGGCAAAAAAGTTCCGTCCTGCTGCGTTGCCTGAACCGAAGTTCCCGACCTATCGTTTGATCTTGATTTGTTTGGCCTTCGTTGCCGTTGACGCACAATTAACAAAAAGAACGCACTTTCCTTGTTGCGAACGAACCATAGGACGCCATCCATCCCACTTCGGAACAGCTTCACAGACGTGGACAGGCGTGGACAGACGCAAAGAGACCCAGGATCGCAAGACAACCAGAGACGGTACGAGCCAGCCAGCCAGCCAGCCAGCCAGACAGACAGACAGACAGAGAGACTACCGCGGATTCAGTCAAGTCGGACCGCTACTCGAAAGGAAACTCTCGCCAATTCTTGCCTTTTTGCTGTGCCCTCTCCCGGCTTTCATTCAGACGCCATGGGCCTCACCGTTCTACCCGCTTTAATCCCCGACATCCCCCAGGTGTACGACGCCTATTTTGCGGCCTTCAAGGGGTCGGTAATCCTCGACATCCTGTTTCCGACGGGGATTGACGAGGCTTTCCGTGAGGGTCACACGAAACACACTGTCGAGTACTGGCACAAGACCAACACCCAGTACACCATCAAGTGCGTGGATGTCGACACTGGCGAGGTCGTCGGCATGGCCCTTTGGGACGCCTTCCTGAAGGAGCGCACACCAGACGAGTACAGGAGTCCTGGCGCCGTTTGGCTCCAAGGCGAGCAGAGAGCTCGCGCCGATGAGTTAATCAACCCGTTCAGCGCAGCCAAAGAAAAGCTGTGGGCCAGCCGAAAATACGTTTGTAAGTGGGACCCGTCGTGAATTAACGCGTCCTCATTTTCCCGATCCCTCCCTCCCTCCCGTCCCGGTTCGCGCCTTTTTTTTCTTTCAGGCTTCTCGAGACAGACCATGTGAGCCCCAGTTGCTGATGACACACGCTTTTGCGTCTTCCCCGGGAATAGACTGTCATATTATTGCAGTGAAGCCTGAACACCAAAGAAAAGGCGTAGGTGCCCTTTTGACCAAATGGGGCCTCGACATGGCCGAGCTGGCAGGACTTCCCGTCTACCTCGAGTCGTCTGAAGAAGGTTTCGGCCTCTACAAACGCCTAGGTTTTGAAGTGCTCCAAGACAAAATCGTGCACCGCGGAGGGCTGGTGGGCAAGGATAAGGACGTTGAAGTGCCTCTGATGGTGAAGATGCCGTCTGCGGCCAAGGGATTGACTTTCGAAGAGTGGCGTGCTCAAGGGTACCCTTCTTTCCAATAAGCATATTTTTTTTTGTGTGGCTGTGTTGGCTGGCTGGACGCAGTATGCTCAAGGAGCCTGCGATGTCAGCAGGAATATCAGATATTACCTTTTTGGAGGCTTGGAGGATCCTGTGTAACGACTCAATGAGTGTCATAGACTTAGACGTTGGATGTTCTGGAAGCGCCAGGACAAGAAGAAGCGCCCAGGAGACAGAGTGCCGAGAAAGGCCAAGACGAGGCAAATCTGCAAGTCAATCTGAAGAAAGGAGAGTTGTCTGTACCTGGATGATTGTGCGATGGTGTATGGCTTGGCTTGGCTTTGTATTGTATATGACAGAATCGTAGCCATGCCCTTGTTCGCATGTAAAAAAGAGTTGCTCGGCCCGGCACCCTGCGTGGCCGAGGGACGCGCCACACCGCACCCGACGACTGCAAGTGGGAGGAAACGGGATGAGGGGGTGGTACCGTGGTTCACGGGGTCGGGTAGGGAGGGAGGGGGTCGAAACTCGATGGGTGATGGTCCATGGATGATGGGCGATGAATAGGCGATGGACCAGTATCAGATGGAATCATGGCATGAGAGGGAGAGGCTAGAGGCAGAGGTACCGATACTGGCGGCTTGTTTCCTGCCCATCTGCCCACATGAGCCCCAAGGTAAGAAGGTGGACGAAGAAGGGGGGTGGGCAAATGCAACCTGACGTCTTTGGCGAGGCGAGTTGGCGTCGATCGGTGGATTGGCGTGGAGTTAATCTTCAAGAGTGATGGAATCTGAAGAATTGTCCCGAAGTCGGAGACTGCGTGACTGGGAGGGTGTGAGGGAAAGAAATGCAGCGGGACATTTTCGGAGGAACGAAGTTGCGTTGATACGAAGAGGTACGGGTACGGAGTATCCGTACCTTGGGATGCTGGAGAAAATGTGGAAGGAGGGGTCCAGTGACTCTAAGGTAGGTACCTAGGTCTAGACGATGTGAGAGGCTGAGGGAGGAGTAAGATAGTTGCCCTGGTGGGGGTGAGAGAAAATTCTGCACGCTGAAAAACGTGAGTGAAATGCTCCTTCCCTAATCTTATCTGATCCAAGATTTGATTGATTAGATCGAGAACCGAACCTATCCGAGGTGGTGACTAGGGTTGTGGCGGGTACTGCGGGGTCCCTTTGGCTGCCATGTGGGGTCTCACTATTTTCTGAGTGGCTGCAGTCCCGGCGCATCTGGTGACGGAGGGGAACTTGGGAAGGAGCTGCAAACGCAACGCCATTGACCAATTTGAGACTCGGCTCCCAAGTTCCTCCACATTCGACGCAATCATACATGTCAACTTTGTCAAGAATATCCTTGGACCTTAAGGTACTCTGACACACCCACACTTACGATCCATCGCGATCCCACTTCTCCCACGCTCTAGGCTCGCTGTCAGTGCCCCGAATACACACGAATACGTGACAAAGTACTGCTCGCTGGCAGGCACACAATGTCCACCAAGTCTCGTGGCCCCATCAAACCCATCTGCTCTTTTTGGTGTGTCACCATGTGTGTCCTCGCATCGCCAATCGAATCGCCTTGCCATGACGCGAGTGGCATTTCCTACCCTTCGTATACGCCCCTCAATACCAGGTATACATACTCGAGAATACTCAAGGTACTTGTCGTGAAACAATTGCCCGTTCGGTCTAGCCCGCCGCTGACTGCATGCGCTGGGCAAGGTGAAAACCATACCCAAACGTGTCAAACAAAAAAGAAGCAATCCCAGCTAAGGTTCTGCGCCGTACGGATACCTGCGCGCGAGTTCGCAACGTCCCGCTGTGTGGCGCCCCGTCTTGGTGGCCGGCAAAGCAGCACGGCCAACACCTTAACGGGCTAAAGCCCAGCCCAGCCCAGCGGCAGCGGGGGGTGAAGAAACCTCGCTTGCCGCTTGCCTCCTTGCTGGATCCAGATGATCCCCGAAAGCCGTTCCTCGGTGACGCAGATGCAGGGCCCTTTGGACATGGGTCGTCTCTCCCATCTGGACCCAGGCCAGTTATTTCTGCCATGCGACCCGAGAGGATGGCCGCGTTGCACGAAGATCGCGGTGACTTTTTTCTGGACTTGCCATAGACAACCATTTCGACCAAGACCAAGACGTTGAGTTGAATTCGGCTTCAGTAGTAATTTCGTTAAGCAATTGAACGTTTATTCAGTAATTTTTTGTCGACACAATGGCCGCAGAAGCATCAACAGCCCCGGTATCCGAGCCTTTGGCTCCCGCACAGAAGCTGTCTATCCTCCACGGGCCCCGCGATCCTCCTTTGGTTGACCTCAGTCTGGGCGAGCTACTGGAGCTCCAGACCTACCAACACGGCACCAAGGAGTGTTTGGTGATTCCTTGGACCGGTGCACGATGGACGTACAACGAGCTCAACCAGCAGAGCTTGCTGCTCGCGCAGGCCCTGCTCGAGATGGGCATCAAGGCCGGTGACAGAGTCGGTGTTATGGCAGGCAACTGCGAACAATACGCCGCCATCTTCTTTGCAGTCTCGAGAATCGGTGCTATTCTCGTCATTCTGAACAACACATACACCCCCAGCGAGGCCATTTACGCTGTTGAGTTCTCAGGTTAGCCACCAATGTGACAAGTTTTTTTTTATATTCCGAGCTAACTCCGTTGTTCAGAATGCAAGATCCTGTTCACCACCAAGCAGATTGGTAGACTCGACAACACCAAATTCTTGAGCCAAATAGCAAACAAGATCAATGGACCCAAGATTATCATGATCCGGGGCGATACGAGCGGATACCAGACATACGATGACCTCATCAAGTCGAGCTCACGGCAGAGCCCGAGAGAGCTTCACCTGGCCATGAGCAAGGTGGTGCCGCATCAAGTGTGCAACCTTCAGTTCACCAGTGGAACTACTGGCCGTCCCAAGGCCGCCATGCTTACCCACCAGTAAGTGTGCTCAAGCTGTTTGTATAGGTTGAAGAGGTTAACTTTGGGTTCAGCAACGTCGTCAACAACGCTCGTTTCATTGGTGATCGCATGCGCCTCTCCCCGGAGGATGTGCTGTGCTGCCCTCCTCCCCTGTTCCACTGCTTCGGTCTCGTCCTCGGTCTCCTGTCTGTCATCACACACGGCGCAAAGATTGTCTACCCCGCGGAAGTTTTCGACACCAAGGCGACGCTCAAGGCCATCCTCGAAGAAGACTGCACAGCGCTCCACGGCGTGCCTGCCATGTTCGACTCCCTGTTCCAGGCGGCACCCAATGACTTCAAGTCATCAAAGATCCGCACCGGCATCGTGGCCGGCGCCCCTGTCCCCAGATACCTGATGGAGCTGATGGTCAACCGCCTCGGTATGAGTGAGTTCACCAGCAGTTACGGTCTGACCGAGGCCTCGCCTACCTGCTTCAATGCCTTCACCGATGATGCCTTGGGCAAGAGATTGACCACCGTCGGTACGCTCATGCCCCATGCCTCGGCCAAGATTGTCGACAGAGACGGCAACGTTGTGCCCATGGGTCAGCGCGGAGAGCTTTGCATGGCCGGGTACCAGCTGCAGGCTGGCTACTGGAACAACTCGGAGAAGACCAACGAGGTCATGGTCCGTGACTCTGCCGGTGTCTTGTGGCTGCACACTGGTGACGAGGCCGTCTTTGACGATGCCGGATACTGTTCAATTACCGGCCGCTTCAAGGATATCATCATCCGAGGTACGTCATGAACGTCCATCGCTCAACTATTGCATAAGGTACTAACACGTCTCTTCCCCAGGTGGCGAGAACATCTACCCGCTCGAGATTGAGGAGCGCCTCATGGCCCACCCGTCCATCTCCCAGGCCATCGTCGTCGGCCTCAAGGACGAGCACTACGGCGAAGTCGTCGCCGCCTTTGTGCAGCGCGCCGACAACGCGAGCAAGCCCTCGTTCCAGGAGCTCAAGGACTGGGTCCGCCAGCGCCTCGGCGGCCACAAGAGCCCCGCGCACGTTTTCTGGCTCGGCGAGGACGGCGTGCCGGCCAACGTGCCCCTCACAGGCAGCGGCAAGGTGCGCAAGTTTGAGATTGCCAAGGTGGGCGACGAGATTCTCAAGAAGAGCAGAACCGTCTCTGCCAAGTTGTAAGATTGCGGTCCTTATGGGATATCTTGCCGAGGGGGGGGCGTGGAGTGTGTTCAATGGGTGATACCACGCAAGATTTGTCTTTTTTACCATTTTCATTGTTATTATCTTATGTTAGGCGATGGTTTGGCTTTTGGCTTAGATTCTTAGACAGTTGCGAGAACCCTACAGGATTACTGAACGTGTCGTTGAATTAACTTTTCTTTCTCTCTTCACACTCCCCAGTGGATACGCTTATGCAAGTCATTCTGAAACTCTGTTTTTTCTGCTATCTGTAATCTCAAAGGCTACATTGTTTTCCATGCCATCCTTCTGTCACATTCGGCCCCCTCTTCGAGATCGGCTTACTAGGACCATGCTTACCCCGATCAAGGCTTGGCGTCGCAAATCGCACATTGCGTGATGAGAAAACCCGATGGTTTGAGGGATCCACTTTGGTGAGGCCAAAAATTTTAGATTCTGCGATTGAGGCCAAATTCGACTACAGTCATCTGTGACTCTTTTTTGGAAACTTTTTTGGGCTCATTTAGGAAGGTGGGGGTTTTTTTTTTTTTTTTTTACAGCACCGTGGATTATTCATCTGGCTATGATTGTAAGACTCAATCGGTCCAAATTAGTGATCTCAATTGGGTACTGAGACTATTTCGACATGTAAAGGTAGGATAATTGCTCAAAAGTACGGATCTGGATGTTGAATATAAGTGACGGGAATCCAGCACCAATTGAAACCACGATATAACGATCACAATATTACCAAGTCCGTTTCTCAAATGTCCGGCACATTCTCGTCCGATATTGCGACCGAGCCACTATCACCAGCTACTACATCCAACAGGAACAGGACACAACCATCACATCCCGCAATGTCTCAATCCAACACCGAACCCAACTCCCAATCCCCATCTCCTCTCCTCCTCTCACTCGCAAATTCCTACCCCCATGACCCATCCCACTTACACAAAGTCCTCCTGCCCCAACTAACCCACCGCCTCCGCCTCGCCTCCCTCTGGTCCATCACCCCCGGCACCCGCGTCCTCGACATCGGCTGCGGACAAGGCGACTCTGCCCTCGTCCTCTCCCATGCCGTAGCCCCACTCTCCATCACCACCGATGGTGACACCAACACCACCGCCGGTCCGGGTCCGGGTCCGGGTTCGGGTTCGGGTTCGGGTTCCGCCCCGGCAGGCCACATCACGGCCCTAGACCCAGCCCCTGGCGACTACGGCAGCCCCTACACCCTCGCCCAATCCCAATCCCACATCTCCTCCTCCCCCTACGGCGCAACCATCACCTTCCACCAGTCCGACGCGCCGACCTACCTCGCATCCCACCCCTCCGAAGCCTTTGACGCCGCGACACTCTGTCATTCGCTATGGTACTTCCCCTCTAGCGAGGTCATCTCCACCCTCTTCAAATCCCTCCACGCATCCCCCATCTCCAAGCTCTGTTTCGCAGAATACGCACTCCAAGCCCGTACCCCAGCCCAGAAACCCCACGAACTCGCCGTTGCAGCACAAAAGCAGTTCTACGAGTTACGAGCGGGGGCGGAGAAGGGGTTTACTCTGGACCAGGGCAACGTCCGCGGCGCGCTTGCTCCCGACGAGATTGTGGCGCTGGCGGAGGGGGCTGGGTGGAAGGTGCGGGAGAGGGGGGTTGTTGATACGCCTGGGTTGTTGGATGGGCGGTGGGAGGTTGGTGCTGTGGTTGAGCCGTCTTGGGCTGAGGAGGTTATCAGCGAGGGATTGTGGAAGGAGGACGAGGAAGAGTTGTTCAGATATGTGAGGGAGATTCAGGCTGCGGTGGATGAGGTGAGGGGGGGTGGTGGTGTGGTTGAGACTATGGATGCCGTTTGGGTTGTTATGGAGCGTTGAACGTGCGGTTTGGATTGATTATCTTGGAGTATTCGATGAAGAAAAGTAAATTAGAGGAATGAATACACATTAAGGTTATCAAGAAGCGATGTGCAGAAGCGATTTCGAGTAACGATTTCAAATGCGCCTGACCATCATATTCGGTCCATATTATCAAAACCATTCCATCGACAACCGCATTTAAACCACATTCTCTTTGGTCTGCTTGACCCTTAAACAGATGAGGTGCTAAACGTTTGGCTTGGCAAGTGTCCCAGTGTCTAGTAGAGCTTGTAGAGGGAATGACTATCGTAAGATTTGAAACGATTGTGGACAGAGGATGGCTAGACAATATACGAGTGGTAAGGTCAAGTAGATGTTCTGATACCGTGGAGACGAGCACTTCAATAATATAGCAAATGGCAGTAGTCACTCATAAAGGGGAAGGAGTGAACAGCGTGGTTGCCGGATGGTGTACAATTATCATGGAGGCGATCTATCCTCTCCAGAACCTGCATTGTCAGCTCCTTCTCAACAACATTAAATTCAAGACATCATGAGGTCAGGTGAGATAGTTGCGGACCATAAAATGACAGAGCATCTCATCAAACTACTGATTTCGAGACAGTTTGCGCCCACCTTTCCTTACATTGTCCACTACCTCAAACGTCGTTCTTGCTCATAACGCCGATAACCAGTGTAAGGTGAGGCAAGGCAAGGCAGATACTTGATTATTGTACTGCCAAAGTTGGGGTACTTGCTACAGGTTCCTGTCTGTACGTTTCGTGCTTTCCATCCCGATAGGATCTCTTCATGAGCCACCTGCTCGAGTCCTTGGCCTCCTCTCTTCATCTTCATGGAAAAGGCTTAAAGTAATCCATCTTCTTGGACACCCGCCAAGAACCTATGGAGCTGCACTTACAACCAACCACATGCCCACAGACCTGATCATCGGGATTCTCCCACAGCGTGATCGTCTCGGCGCGACTATCCGGCCGGACTCCGGTATCCGTATCCCGAGGACGCCTTTAATCTTGAAAGGGATGCGCAAGTTTCCATCAGCTCGGAAAGGCCCCAGAGTCAGATACTTCCCCAATTGGAACCATTGACGGGGGCCATGAGGATATCAGACGAACGAGACGACGTGATACATCGACCCGACAGAGTGCAATACGACATCCTCTACGGCACTGTGTGGACATAGGATCCAATGGCATGTCCCGAAGACCCGAGAGAAGACTTCTCGGACGAATACCATTCAATGTGGAACAATCAGCAGTGAGTGACAAAACCACGGGACTCTCGCAGGCGTTGGCGGATTATGACGGTCGGCGTTAACGATGATCTGGGTGGCGCACATTGGTCCGCAGCGTCCATTGCCGCAAGGCGCTTGTTGCAAGTTCAGTGCAAGAGCTGCAGAAAGTCTCAGCCATCGACGTGCAGGAAGACGATCCGGCTTTCGTCGATCTGCTACTTGCAAAAGGTACCTTCCGACGCCTTGAGATCAACGACGCTATTACCTAGCCCACTTGAACTCCATCACGAAACCGCCTTGGCCGAGAAACGGGTACGATGCCACATTCTGAATCGCGTGGCGGCTGGCCAAGTTATCAATCTCTGTGGAGTCGAGCTGTTCTGGAGTGGATTACGGGCGTGGAGCTCTTGTGGACAACCGGTCGGAGCAACCCTGTACTGCGCTGGCGGGTTCATGAATCCCATAGCCGTCTGAACTTCTCGAGAACATCACGAACTTTTCAAGCAAGCCCAGAGTCGGCGGCGCAGGTTGCCTCAGTGCCGAAACGGCGCGGTTGACGGGGGGGCGGCAGATGTGACTTGGCAGGCGGGGGAGGCTCCGATCGAGGAACGGCTCAAGATCCGACGGAAGCAGAAGCATCGAAGCACACGGGTGAATTCTCAGAGCTTGCAAGTGAGCTGAAGGCGTCCCGATTCACAAGCAGGCGTAGCAGGGGATGGGACGCAGTGGAGACGAAGAGAGTCACGTACCCTGATCTGACGAGGTGCGGTTTTTTTTCTTTTCTTTTCTTTACCAAGGATCTGCCCAAACAGGCCACTTGGACCGAATCCGACCCCACGCGAGCTACCTGTTTCTATACACACACCCTCTTCGATGATGAGATGATGGGATCAACGGGTAGGTTCGGGATGCTGAAGCAGTGAACCATGCTGCAAGTATCGAAACCAGCCTTAGCGTATCCGTAAGTTCAATCCCGCTGCCCCGCCCATGAGAGAAAAAATTTGCCTTGATCTTATCAGATCCATCATCCAGCTTGCGGCGGCCACCGGTCGGCTTTGAGTGGGTCCATGAAGCTCCGAGGCCGGAGCTATGGCCGAACTTGTTTCTAATAAAGTTATCAGATCCGCTAAGACCAGGTCGGTGCAGCCACCTTCCCTGGAGAAAGAAAAAAAAGAAGGGGGGGGGGGAACGCCGGTACCTATGCGCCACGCACGCAATTGAGGGCAATACATCAACTACTCCGTACAAGTCTACGAGGGCACTACCGCCACGAACCCCGTCTCGATCAACCCCGAACGCCATCTCGTTTATCAGATCTATTCTGAAGGTGGCACAGACTGTTGAACTCAAATTTTCCTCGGAGTATTTCGTCGCCTACCCTGAGAACCCTTCTGGCCCGAGGTCTCGGCGTTTCGCCGTGGACCACCTCAGTGATGGAGGGGTGAAGAATGAGGACCCCCCCCCCCGACTTCGACCATGTCCGCGTACCTTGATCTTTCATGTACTCTTTTGTACCTTTTCTTTCGCGTATAGACACACGCCCCAGAGCTACCGTGGAGTCGAGGTACAAGTGTACCCCGCCGTTGAACTTCACTCTGACCACCACCCCGTGTCCCAAAACTTGTGATGGATGGTGTGCTGGAGACGATGTCATGAGCCGATCCTGGAGGCTGGAGCCAGCAGTCGCTTCGCTTCCTCGCTTGAAGCTCTCTTGCGTCGCGCGCCCTGCAGCTCATTGAAGAAAAAAGAAGAAAAGAAAAATTGAGCCTTGGCAAGGCATGGCGTGGCATGGCAGATACGCAGACAAGTCAGCGGCGGGCTTCCGTTTTCCAATGGACCAGGGTTGTGGCATTGGACTCTTGGAGACCAGGGATCCAATGGCGTTAACTCGGTATGTCTCTTCCAAAGGAGTAGGCGGTGGTGACATGAATGCCCGCGAAGCTCCGAACTCGAAGCTCAATCTTTGGCAACTTTCTCCGTGAACTTTTGCTTTCCTGTCTGTCTGTATACAGAATCCTGGAGTCAAGCATTGAGGAACCCCTTTCACGTTTTTGATACCCTCCTCGGAAAAGCCTTGTTCCTATTCCCAATTCGTTTTCCACTGTAATCAGTCAGTTTGGGAACAGACATCACACATCAACCGCAATCATGTCGGCACCAATCTCTCTGTCCGCTGTCTCCTCCAGCGAGAGCCTCATCAAGCTCCCCCACCCGTACCACGCCGAGTACGCCGTCCAGCGCGCCTTCAACCACGACACCTTTGCCGGCAAGACGTCAGAGGGCGGTCTTCACTTTTACCGCCTCGCGCCCCTCGCCGCCGCCCAGGACAACACCAAGCAGACGACTCCTCTGCCCGAGCGTCTTCACAGCGAGAACCTCTACTTCTCCGAGCCCGCGGACCTCAAGTCGAGCGAGCTCCCGGCCGACTCCAACAACAGCGCCTGGGCCCGCGCCCGCCGCTCCCCGAGCGCCGCCTTCTCGTGGGACAGCAAGACCAAGCCCACGCTCGCCCAGGCCTGGCTCCTCGTCTACGTCATCTTCGTCCTCCGCCCCGCGGAAGAGCTCGTCCGCCTCGAGCTCCGCGGCGCCGGCGCCGACGTCCTCGGCCAGCAGCTCCGCGACGTCCTCCTCGCCATCGAGCACCCTACCCAGACAGACGCCCAAAAGCCCGCCGCGTCCGCGGAGCAGTCCACCGTCGTCGTCCTCCGCTCCGCCTTCTGGCAGGGCGCCGGGTCGCCTTTCGGTCCCCGTCCCGTCTGGCTCCCGCAGGAATCCCCCGCGGCCCTCGATAACCCTCTCTCCTCGTACCCCTTGACCCCCCTCCAGCACACCATGACGGCCGTCTCGGCCTCGGACCCGTCGAACCCGAACCTCTACCAGCAGGCGTGGCACCCGATCCGGCCGGCCAAGCCTGCGCCGGGGGCCACGGTGTACAGCCGCTGGATCCCGCATCTCAAGGAGACGTTCAGCATGGTGGCGCTCGACTACCGCAACGCGGAGCACCTGCGTCTGTTCCACGAGTGGCAGAATGATCCGCGCGTGTCGCAGGGGTGGAACGAGACAGGCACGCTCGACCAGCACCGCGAGTACCTGCGCAAGATTGACGAGGACCCGCACCAGTTTGCCATTCTGGCCGCGTGGGAAGATACTTTCTTTGCTTACTTTGAGGTCTACTGGGCCAAGGTGCGTTGACTCTCTTTGTCTATTCCTGTCTACAAAACACTGTTGTTGTTGTTGTTGTTGTTGTTGTTGTATAACTAACAAACCATCACACAGGAGGACAAACTAGGCGGCTACTACGACGCCCAAGACTGGGACCGCGGCCGGCACTCGCTGGTCGGCGACGTGCGCTTCCGCGGACCCCACCGCGTGACGGCGTGGTGGTCCTCGCTGATGCACTTCCTCTTCCTCGACGACCCGCGGACCTCGTGGGTCGTGGGCGAGCCCAAGAAGACGAACGATACGGTGCTCATGTACGACTTCATGCACGGGTTCGGGCTGGACAAGTTTGTGGATTTGCCGCATAAGCGGAGCGCGTTTGTGCGGTGCTCGCGCGAGCGGTTCTTCCAGCTTTGTCCGTTGGGGGATAATGAAAAGGTTGTGGGCGGGATGAGGATTCAGCTTGTGCCCAAGTTGTAGAGATCCAACGGGCGGTAGTTTGAAATGGTAGGCTATCCGTACGTATGGTGATGGATGACTGGGGGGGGGGGGGGGGGGTGTGTGTGTGTGTGTGTGTGTGTGGATTAGTTTTGTTGATCTAAAAAAGTGTTACGGTATGTGGGCGTGGGTTAATGTACATACTACGTAGAAGGAATGCAGATGAAGTTAGGAAGGTGTCATTGTTGATGCAGAATTTTGTGTCGATGCTTTTTTTATTTATAATCTTATCTGATCTGATTTTACCTCGGTGGCATCTCCAACCATCTATCTAGTGGCTCTGAGCCTTGAGTCTTGACATGCACATGAAAATTGAGAGACGGAATCGATAGAGTACTGTGTATCCGAGGCCTCATGAGAAACATCATTTGCATTTCAAAAGTCTAGCCAATTTAGTCTAAACTACCCAAGAGACGGACCTTTATTGCGTCGTGTCGTCTTCGTCGTCATAATTTTACTCCCAAGAACACCATTGAAACCCAAGAAACCCTTAAAATCCATTTTGTTTAAATTTTTCTTTTCTTTTCTTGCTCATAAAGAACTCAAGAGTCAAGAGTCGGGGGGGCCTTTCCGAGACCAAGGTGGTTCCAGCAGACTGTGGTAAAGACGCACACGCAACGGTTAGCAACTTAATCAATCTCTCCCTGACGATGGGGTCGAAGGGGGGGGGGGGGCGTGTGGAAGAGAGGAGCACAGGAACATGGAAGAGAGAAGAGCAGACAGGGAAGGCCGGTCGGTGCCGGTGGGATGCAAAAGACACAACCAAAAAAAAAAAAAAAAAAAAAAAGTAACTCACTGGTAAAGCCGAGGTCGTCTCTAAAGTACGCGTGCATGACATCCTCACCCCACGTAGTCCCCACAACGGGCCCGCTGGCGACGGCCTTCTTGCCAATCGCCAACCCGATCATGGGCTCGACGGGGCCGAGCTCCGAGAACGTGGGCTTGTGCGCCTGCGACGTGAGCTTGGCCAGCATGAGCTGGTGGGCGTTGATGGCGGCGTAGTGACCCATGTGCATCGCCGTGCCGCACCGCTTGATGCCGGGCCACAGGCAGATGTCGCCCACGGCGATGTGGTCCTCGGCGTTGGGGACGTCGCCCTTGAGAACCATGTTGGCGTGGATCTTGACGTAGCCTTCCTCGTCCTTTGCGGCGGCGGGGAAGTAGTCTGTCGAGGGCACGCTGCGGGAGATGGCCATGACGACCTCGGACGCGACGAGCTTGTCGCCGTTTGTGAACTCGATCTCGTGGCGGGCGCGGCCGTTTGCCAAAGGTTCGAGCTTGCGCGTCTCCTTGACGCGGTGGTTCAGGAGGACGTTGACGCCGGCTTCCTTTGTGAGCTCGAGGGCCTTGTCCTTGCACTCGTCCGACAGGCCCTCGGAGGAGAGGAGCTTGTCGCGGGAGTGGACGAGCGTGACCTTGGAGTCGGGCTCGACGAGCTTGAGCTCGGCCGCCATCTCGATGCCCACGGCGCCGCCGCCGACGACGACGACGCCGTCGGGGGCGTTGCGGACGGCCTGGATCTGCTCCTCGGCCTCGAGGAGGTACTGCTTGCGGGTGAGGGACTGGGGCACGACGGGGAAGACGCGGCGGAGGCCCGAGGCGGCGACGAGGAAGTCGTAGGAGAAGTCTTGGGGCTGCTTGGTGGCGTGGTCGAGGACGGTGGCCGTCTTGGTGGCCGGGTCGACCTTGGAGACGGAGCCCTGGACGAAGCGGACGTTGGGGCGCTGGAGGGAGGCCATGTCCTCGAACTTGACCCAGGACTTTGCTGCGTATTCGGAGTCGGCGAAGGCGAGGGGGGAGCCGATCAGGTGGACTTTGTTGATTTATTAGCGGGGGTTGTTGTGATCACAGTCTGGAAAGCTTCAGGATTTATCTTACAGAAGCCATCACGCTCGTCGACGAGGGTGATCTCGACGGGGACGTTCTTGAAGTCTGGGTGGTGCTCGTAGGGAACGTGAGCGAGACGAGGCGACTTGCCGCTGCTCAGGTCAAGCAGGTTCAAGGTGGTAGAGACACCGGCGTAGGAGAGACCTCCGATGACGAAGACCTTGAAGGGAGGGATAGCACCAGGAAGAGAGCCCATCTTGTCTGCTGTTGTCGGAAACGTAAAGGAGTCGTTACTTGAACGGGAATCTACTACTACGTCTGGAGGAGGGTACGATGCAGAGGAGGAGGAGGAGGAAGAGGAAGAGGAAGAATAAGACCGGTTGGAGCTACAGGACTCTAGCGGCGAGGCTTGATGAAGAGGGAGGCAAGTAGAGGCGAGGGAAGGGAGTGAAGATGCAGGTGCAGGTGCAGTAGCAGTAGCAGTAGCAGTAGCAGTAGCAGTAGCAGTTGCGGACGAGAACATTCGCATGGACAAGAGCAGACATAAAGATAGCGTCCGCCGGAAGCCGAGCGGAGGGCCTGCATCGGACCGGAGCTCTTGCTGGCGTGCTGGTGCTGGTCTGCGGGTGACGCTGCTGAGACTGGCTAAAGTTGCCCGTTGTTGGATCCCACCACCACCACCGACGACGACGAGTCCTTTTCCCAACAAGGAGGACCCAGTGCCAGATTCACCCCTCCTCCAAGGCTGGGCCAAGATCAAGGAGGAGGAGGAGAGCGACGACGACGAACACGAGGAAAGGGGCAGGTCGAGCCGAGGGCTGGCTCGGAGAATGAGACGCCTTGCAGCCGAGAGTGCTGGGCGAAGGATCCGCTTGGCCATGGCGGCGATCGCAAGGAAGGGGAAAAAAAAAAAAAAAAAAAAAAAAAAAAAAGGAGAGAAGGAAGACGAGGTCAAGGGGCCGACGGGACTGAGAGTGACACTCACACCAGCGGCGTCACTGTCAGTAAGGAGGGGGAAGGGATAGCGACAGCGGAGATGACGGCATGGCTGGGTGGGTTTGTTGGGCACCGGGGAGTTTGGGAGAATTTGTAAAAGGGCATTCCCCTATTGTATGTATTGTAGTGCTACATTGTGACTTTCTTGGAGGAGGAGGAATAATATGGGTAAAGTTGCACGCGCGGATCTTGAGATTGCCGTCGTCGTAAACCTGGCGGCTGTTGAAGTTCAAGGGGGCTGTTTTTGCTCGGATCGGTTGTTCGGGGATGTCTTCGTAGAACGGGTTTTGGAATCCTTTTTTTATTTTTTTTATGGAGGGGTGTTTTTGGGAGGGGTCCGAGAATTATCAGATGGTGGAGGAGTTAAAGTTATCAGATCCGTTCAGAGACATGCAAGCCACTCCCAGCGCCGGGTCTAAAGCGGACTGGCTGGGCTAAGATCTAATCAGCATTACCTAACAAACACAAGCATTGACAAGATGACAAGGCTAAAAAAGACCAACAAAAAGAAGAAAACCAAGCACCCACGCACCAAGGTACGGGTACCCCGTACGCGTTGGACCTGAGACTGCGCCTCATTTTCAGTGGGCAGCCGCAATGTTCGGAATCCAAGGATGGAAAAACTGTAATTCTCTCCTTCTTTCCATCTCGGGTTCCTTTGCTTTCCGTTGCTTGCTTCTACCGAGAGTACCTTGGTAATGATGTATGGCCGGGCAGTGTTGATGCTGGATGGATCGGCCGTTGAAGCTAATGCCGCCAAAGGTTCTTACTGCAGCAGACAAAGCAAAACACTGGATTCGCAATTGAATTCGCAATTGGCCCTGCTCCTCACTGTAACACACCAGTGAGCAGCGACGAGAGGTGTACCCAATGACGCCTTCTTTTACAAATTCGAGATGAAGTGGATGAGTGGGTGTGTGGTGTGGTGGTGGAATGTACCCTCAAGTGGAAATGGTGTGTGTGTGTGTGTGTGGGTGTTAATTGGCGGCGGGGGCCCAGCGTCAGAGAGAGAGATGCGCCATTTTCCCCGGGCAGGAGCCGTCGCCGGGGCCGTCGCCGTGGCTTCTCTTGAAATTTTTCATTCGCGAAATGGGAGGATCAAGAAATTTGGTGAGGTAAAGCTTTCTGAATGGACAACTTGTTCGTGCAGATCCGCCAAAAAAAAAATTTGTATACTTACCCTACAAAAAGTAGAGCAGGGAATGTGGAGCAAAGAATGGAAAGAAACATGCATGTCCGTGACGATGTACCTTGCTCCGTACTCCCGTACCCCCGTACCCCCGTACCCCCGTACCCTCGTACCCGTTCGGGTCGGCGTGCTCAGCCTTACCTAATCCGGAAGGGATGGGCCGTCTCCGCCAAGACAAATTATCTGATCCGAACCCACAGTCCGGTCGCCGGCCCCACATCAATTCGCTCCAGTTGCTCCAGTCGTCCTTCGCTCTTTTCCCCCTCTGGTTGTCTGATTCTTCCACCCCCTTTGACCCTCCCGAATCGCTATCAGATGCTATCGCGAATGCTCCAATGTACAAATGTACATGCGGCCTCGCCCACAAACATTGCACACCTCCACCCCAGGGATGCTACCGGTACCCTTCACGTGCCATAGCACATTGCACATCCCGCTACAACCGTCGATTCCCGCAGTAGCGTCTATCGTCTACCGTGGGTGCTTTGGTCACTGAAGTGGTCTCTCGCCGCTTAACGAACCCCGAGCCTTGAGGACGGGACCATGGAATGTCGCAAGAAAGCAGTGCAATACCTACACCAGACCGCCGGGGGGGGGGGTCACAGTCGGCCTTGGGCGTCGGTCGCCGCCCCCCCCCCCCCCCCCTCGTTACGGCATGCCCCCCTCGTGGCCCTTTCAGCTCCCTAACTCGGCTACTCCACGGCAGGGTACTTTGCATTACCACCCACCTATGGATACCCTCCCTGAACTTGAAGTCCTTGCTGAGTTGCTTGCAAGTTGAACTTGCCAGCCTCTGGGGGTGCACGGGGGACCGGAGCGGCAAGTCACAATGCCCCCAGCGGAGCACTCGAGTCGCTTCTGTGAAATGTGCTGTCATCAAAGCCTGCGAAGCCAAGCAACTGCTCGCTATCGTTGGCTGGCCTTGGGAATGACTCCCCTAATTACCCGCTAATGGTGCGGATGCCAATCAACACAAAAAAGTGAATCCCCTCCACTTCTGCTTCTGGCATGGTGCAAGAACGGCAAGGTTGCCCTGGACCTCGCTCGACGCTTCGCTGAGCTATTCCTTGCCACCAAGCTGCACGCCAAGTCTCTGTGTTCTCGGGGCTGGCGATGAAGCTCCTTTCTTAACCATCTGCTTCAATTGCGAAAAGCCGTCAAACTCTCCCTGATACCTGTTCGTCAGTTCAAGGTCGGATCACCATGCCTGACCAAGACTCACGATCGGCTGCGGCCGAGAAGGCTGATACTGGTGTCTCGACATCACCAGAGCAACAACAAGTACAGACAACGTCAACAGAGACTACTGAAGTCGCGAAGCCAAAGGCAAAGGTGAGTTGCATTTCTGGGCTGGGCTGATCTGATCCTTTCTTCAGGAATTTCTTCTTGGCCCTTCTCTTCCTCGACTATGCCTGCGAAAGGAAACTGACAATCTATCCCCAGCGCTTCGAGACTGTCTTTAGCTTCTTCAAGCTGCTTTTCTATGCCAACCCAACATGGCTCGATTACACGCTGGTCTGCGTGGGCACCATTGCCGCCGTCGGCTCAGGTGTCCCGTTCCCTCTGATGGGTATTCTCTTCGGACAGCTGATTGACGACATGAACGGCGCGACCTGCGCCAACGGCATTGGAGACCCGGTCGCCTACCAAGACGCCGTCAACGACAAAGTCGTCAAGCTCGTCTGGATCACCTGCATCGCCTTCTGCCTCATCTACACGCACACCACCTGCTGGGGAATCGTCAGCCAGAGACTCGCCTCGCGCCTCCGCGAAAAGTACTTCCAGAGCTTGCTGAGACAGGATGTCGGCTTCTTCGAGAGCAGACAGGCCGGTGAAGTCTCGTCCCGCCTCAACTCCGATATCCAAACCATTCAGTCCGGAACGTCCGAGAAAGTCAGTCACTTCGTCGGCACAATCTCCTTCTTCGTCACGGCGTACGTTATCGGCTTCATCAAATACGCACCCCTTGCTGGCATGCTGGTTTCGCTCATTCCCGCCTACTTGCTCGCGTCCATGATTTGCGGAAGCTACATCCAGAAATGGAGCGGAGCCATGTCAGAGGGCATGGCCAAGGCCTCGTCCATCGCCTCGGAAGCGCTTTCTCACGTAGCCGTCGTCCAGGCGTTTGGCGCCGGACCTCGCCTGGAGAACAAGTTTGCGGGCCATGTCATGGTTGCTCAGAAGGAGGGCATCAAGAAGGCTATTGCTGCTGCCTCCAACGCCGGACTGTTGTACTTCATCGCCTACGCTGCCAACGCCCTCGCATACTGGCAAGGTAGCAAGGCCATCTCAAAGTCAGTTGCTGGAACCGGTGACGGCACTTCAGTTGGTGACATTTACACCGTTGTGTTCCTCATCGTTGATGGTACGCACTCTTTCTTCTACAATCCTTGGACATCTTTGCTGATTACGACTAGCCTGTATCATGCTCGGCACCATCGCTCCCCTTCTGCCCCTTTTCGGATCAGCAGCCGCTGCCTTCGTCAAGCTCCGGGAGGACATCGACAAGCACTCGACTATTGACTCCGTCACCGAGGACGGTGACAGACTGCCCACCAATGTCCACGGCGAGGTGGAACTCCGTGGAGTCACCTTCTCCTACCCCTCGCGCCCCGACACGGACGTGCTCAAGGAAATCTCTCTCGTCTGCCCCGGTGGAAAGTACACTGCCATCGTTGGTCTTTCCGGCAGCGGAAAGTCGACTATTGCTGGCCTCGCCACGAGAATCTACGACCCCAAGGCAGGCCAAGTCCTCATCGACGGCCAGGATATCCGCAACCTCAACGTCAGAAACGTCCGCAGTTACATCAGTCTCGTCCAGCAGGAACCTTCTCTCCTCGACCGCTCCGTCATCGAAAACATTGCTCTCGGTCTCGTCAACTCGCCCAAGGAGGAGCACCAGAGACTCAAGGAAACTCTCTACGGACCCCAGCTCGCCCAGCTTGCCGAGGATCTCATGGCCGGCGCCGACCTCAACACTGCCGCTCAGAAGTACGGACCCGAAGTTGTCGAGGTTGTCAAGCTCGTTCAGAACGCGACCGACCTGGCCGATGCCACCTCCTTCATCGACCGCCTCAAGCATGGATTCGGAACCTCTGTCGGCAGTGGCGGTAAGCTCGTCAGTGGTGGCCAGAGACAGCGTGTGGCCCTCGCCCGTGCTCTCATTCGTGACCCCAAGATTTTGATTCTCGACGAGGCCACCGCCGCCCTGGACTCTGC